TGTTTCAATTGTATGCGTCTCTTCTTCAGTTTTTTTTGTAATTTAAAATGCTATCTTGACTTGTATCCGTTTCACTGTTAGGTATATAATCATCACTACTACCAGAGCTAAAATCTAATAGCCCTGGTGGTAACTCGGTTTCCCTATATTCTGATTCAGATACTTCTTCATTATTTTCTGCATGATCTCCAGTCTCAATGAATTTTATTAATTTTGCGCTCCAAGAACTTAAGGCGTCCAGGGAGCAGTGTAAGCTGTTGCTGAAAGAAAGGGATGACAATGAAAAGAAAATAATAAGTATAATTTCTAAAAACACACGACTAAATGTGATATGGTGAAGTTGCATAGAGAGTATACAAGTGTAATAAAGGAAAGGGATAAGCTCCAGGAGACAGTCGATGAGTTTGACCGATGCAGCAAATAATATGGGTAAGCCCTCAGATTGATTGCTGCATTACAGTTACAGTCAACTGAAGTTACTGATAAGATTTCACAATTTAAACAATACATTGATCACTCGCAAGCATTTCAAACTCAGAGTCAGTTCATTGAGCTTGTAAAATATAAATTTCATAAAATGATGCAACCCTCCTGTTGGCGACGCGCTTGAAAAATAGTTTATCATTATTCGTTTGAAAAAAAAAACAATTTCATGTTTTGAAGACATTGCTATTAAATTATATAAGGCACTTCGAATAAAGAAAGTAAATATATTCAATATAATGTCTAACGAAATTTCGGAGTTTGATTCCCCGGCCGAAAATTAATTTCATAAAAGTTTGTTTTTAAATTAATTTAGAGCCATATGTTACACAGTAATCAGCTATGTAATACGAATAATTCTTATATTAAATTAGATACTTATTTTAGATGAAAATATATTTTGGCTCTTGTGATAAGAGATAAGATTAATTATGGCTGATAAGGAGAGCATATGTAAATAAATAATGTTTCATAATGAACAGAGATTGTTGTAATTTAGAAAAGGAAAGCACTAGCCACCTACCGATATGATCAAGGTCGTGTAGGAATTGTTTGTTCATGTTGTATGGGATCTAAATAGGGGTCCAAATAATAAAAATAAAAAATAAACTTTATTAATTTGTGAAAATTTCAATAATGTATATATAAATAAGTAATAAATGTTTCAGGTTTATTATCTGTGTTAATAAAATCAGTTTTGTGTTAAAAGTGTCTAAATTTGTGCTTAAAATAGTGAAATAAAAACACGCGTGAGTGTAGTGGAACACTCGGTTGGAACGAAGTTCCTTATTATTGATAAATGTATTATATTATTGATTAACAAATACAAATAAATGTATTACTAGCGTCTATTAAAATTAAGCGTCATTTAAAATAAAATAGACTATGACACAAGGGATATAGACGAAAAAGTCGTACACTTTTTGTCGCCTAGCTCCCATCCGCAAACCCCGTACCGTCCGATAAGGAACTTCGTTCCAATAGTTATATAAGAAAATTAAGGTCGAATTAAAGTGTAAAATACCGTCAAACTGTGAATCAAACAATTGTATTAGTTAAGATATTCATGTTTATTAATAAAGATTGTTATTTTAACCATGTGTGTTAGATATTTAAGATTTTTAAACTTTGAAAATGTTCTGTAAAATAAATATACGAGGGTGACACTGAAAGTTCATATAAAATCAAAAACAGGACAAACTAGCAAGTTATTAGTTTAATGATTTCTTATATTTACGCGAACACTACACATTTTCAAATAAAACTAATTTTACGGATTTTATCGCGTATATTACCTTATTTTTTATATTCCCGACGTCCATTTCCAGCGATGTGTTGATGTCCATTTACATCAACACATCGCTGCATCAGATGGAACCACTGAGAAAAGCACTTAGCCCACTCGTCCTTAGGGGTATCTTCGACGGCATTTTGAAACGCAGCGACTGCTTCCTGGGCGTCCATAAAATGTTTTCCTCGAAGTTTTTCTTTTATTTTCGGAAATAAATAAAAATCGCAAGGTGCGAGGTCGAGGCTATAGGACGGGTGGCCCAGTAATTCTACATCTGCCGTCGCCAAGTAGTCGATTGTTTGTTTGGCTGTGGGCGACGAGGCGTTATCGTGGTGACGGAGAATCCTACTGTGAGGTCGTTTCTCCCGAATTTTTTCCAAGACTAGTGGCAAACAATTGTTAGTGTACCACTCTGCAGTAACTATTTTTCGATTCTCTAGAACAATTGTTGCGTAATGACCGCTAAATGTTCATGGAGGATTTTGTGCACTTGACTCATACCGATGCATAAGCTTGTCCGAATCTGCTGATAAGTTACTCTTTTGTCAGAGTCTTTCATACGTCGCACAACACTAATGTTGTCTTCAGTCGTCGCCGTAGAAGGCCGTCTTTAACGCAGATCATCGGTGAGATTAGTGCGACCACGTTTAAACTCATGAAACCAGTTGTAAACAGTAGCACAAAATGGGGCTTCATCGTGAAAGACCAATTGAAGTCTATCATAACTTTATTGTTGACTTAAATGACATCAAACTACATAAAAAATCATTGTACGAACATTTTATCGCGTTAAATTCATGCTGACGTGACACCGGAAATTTTCAATTTGCCGCCAAGTCGTAAACAAATGACAAATTACTAAAATACACAATAATATAGGCAAAGAGTTTCAGATTCAAAATTTGAACTTATTTTTTTATTATATCGCTTACAAGTGGTCATTTCTAAAAACTTTCAGTGTCGGCCTCGTATTTTATTGAATATCTTAATATGTTTTTATGTGGTGTGTGTGTGTTGGACCCTTTCACCTCCTAAGCAATAAATTTGACTAATGATTCTGTCTCATCAAGAACAGCAGAAGGACTTACATCTAGGTGGACAAAGTCGAGGGTTAAAACTAGTAATGAATAAAATATTTGATAGTATCTTTCTTTTTTTCTTTAACGAATAAGGGTAATAAACGAACACGCAGTCCACCTGGTTTACTGTAATTGGATGCTGTGGCCTATGGACATCTACACTTATCCTCGATTAAGAATCAAAATGCAGATATGTTGTCACGTCATACCTGAGGACTAAGATGGAATGCCTCATTTCCTGTAAAAAGGGTCTCCGAGTCTCTACACTCACCAAATCAAACACAGCAGCCTTAAGCTGCTATTTTACGCTGGTATTCTGTGAGAACGTGGTCCTACCCCGAATGAGCCGACCCATTTCGTGCTACAACTATTATAACTGCAGCGTGGCTCTACCATGTAGATACTATACGACTTATTATAATGAGTAATAATATCTCTATACGAAACTTATTCTTATACATGAATATTTACCTATTTAGTAATAACATACTTTAATAAACTTGAAGTGAATGTCACAGACATAACTAGGTACAAATGCTATTAAGGTATAAACAAATATATATTTTTTAAATTTTGTCTGTCTGTCTGTCTGTCTGTCTATACGGGCTAATATTCTTAATTGCTGCACCGATTTTGATGAAACTTCACGAATGATAAAGAGCAATGCCTCGAGGGATTTAGGCTATATTTGAATAACTTGAACATTTCTTAAGGTCGTAGTTAATTGCGTTTTTGACATGCTCGAATTTAGGTATTCGAATTGCAAGCCGACTTACGCACGCACACATTGAACTTTCGAAATTGTTTTTCACTATATTTTATATATTAGACCTGACTAAACTTGATACTTGCTCAGATCAACAAAGAACGAAAGGCGTTTATTTCAAGTAAAGCCAAACTACGCTTAACTATTTGACATACACTCACGCACACATCTCTCTTCTTTCTTTCTGTATAATCCTGTAAATAATGATTTCTTATATTTACGCGAAAACTACACATTAAATGAAATTATTTTTACGGATTCTATCGCGTTTAGCTTTTTAATTCCCGGCGTTTCAGGTGCTTTACAGCACCCCTGGTCACGGGGTGGGGTGGGGGGGGGGGGGGGAGACTGAGGTGTTTGACGTCCCGATGTTATAGTTAGCCCGGCTACCTATGACATTGGGACATGGACACAGTGCAGTGTGTGAACATGTTCAAGATCGCCCGCGCCATTACATTAGATTTGATAAACCACAAATCCTCGCAAAAGAACACCGATTCCTAACAAGAATGATTCGCGAGGCTATTAAGATTGAAAAACATCCTAATTTCAATAGAGAAGGTGGATGGGTGCTGCCATCTGCTTGGGATCCTATAAATAATAAAATTAAATCCAAACCCAAGCATACCACTGCAAGACTTCAAGATACTGTAAGCTCATTCTGCGTAGATCGGACCAAAAATTAATATTCAAAAACTGAAGGTAGCCGGGCTAACTATGACATCGGGACGTCAACCAACTCAGTCCGCCCCGTGACCACGGGTGCTGTAAAGCACCCGAAACGTCGGGAATTAAAAAGTTAAATTAAACGCGACAGAATCCGTAAAAAATAGTTTCATTTAATCCTGTAAATGTTTGCACTCATATGCACCTAAAACCATGTTATTGTTGCAAATGATTTTAAATACATACATGTACGTGAGTGCATATTTTTACTATGAGGTGAGCATGGTTTTGGCGTGGTTTTGCATCGCTTGAAATGTACGCAGCACTCCGTTTTTCTCTCTTTATTAGTATGGGGATACTTCAAGTATTATTAATTTTAGTAGTAGTAATTAAGTATTGAATATACATAGTTAATTGGCGAGAAACTTTGCAATCGCGTTTGGTTATCTAGCATGTTAATAATGTTCTTATTAATTGTGAGTTACGAGTTATTGACATTTGTGTATGATAAGCGGTTAATAAACATTAATAGGTTTGAAAAGTACTGTTTTGTTCTAATCAGCGCTTGGAATGTGAACACGTATCAGTATCTAGTTTTCTAAATGACGATAATTTAATATTGTGCGCCGTTTGTGATGGTGAACATGTATGTAAATAAAACAACAAAATTTAATTTAATTTAATTTTGATTGAAACTGAAACTTAATTCAAAGAAATGAGTGCCAATAAAAAGGTTGATAATGACGGTAAAATTCACTTGGAAGCTGCATTAGATTTGGCAGGTTTGTTTAAATGACTCCACTAACACGATTATTTCAATATTAAATATTTACTTTGAATCAAACCGCCCGTCTTATAGGAATTTAAACCGTTATTAAACATAAATATTTTTAAAATTATAAAATTAAATACATTTCATACATATTTAAATAATTTACATGTATTTCGGGACTTCATGCAGAAAAATAACCCCAACAGAAGCGAAGCTTCTTACGCTTTGTTATACAAATATATAATATACAATATTACAATATAGTCATTTGTTATCCGAAATAAAGATTTATTATTATTATTATTATTATTTAATGAATTTTTTTTTTATTTCATAGAAGGATAGATTGCAACAATTTACAAAAACAAATACTTTCGTTTTTGTAAATTGTTGCTTAATACTACTTGGTCCATAATGCTCATTACCTCATTATTAAATTAATGTACTCCATACCTGGTTATTATATATATGGTTCTAACGCGTCTTTTCGTGCACCCAATCGATAAAAAAGGGTAAGGCGTTGAAATATCGAATGACGTACCTTCTGTTCCGCGGTCAATTGGAATAGAAAGCGGGACAGTATTTCACACCGCTGCAACTTTACAAGACCCAAGTTCAGCCTCACATGGAGTACTCAGAGGAATTGTTCGGATTAATTCCAGCAGTCAACTTGGGGACATTCAAGAAACGAGCTTTCTCCTTTTTAAAAGGCCGGCAACGCGCTTGCGATTCCCCTGCAGTTGTAATTGTTCAGCGGGCAGCGGTCGACACTTACCATTAGCTAAGCTGTAGGCTCATTTGCTCACCCCCACCCCCTTGTAGATAAGAAAAGGATAGCCATCTATGCAGGATAGCGTTACTCTGGCAGGTGTACTCTCTATTTCCTCACTCTCATTGTCCAATCAAACGGTAATCCGTCACAACCGAAGAAAGACAGGTGCATCTTTACATGCTTTCGGAGGCACGGGGGTAAAACATCCATGGCAACGCATCTGCATTTAGATTCGTCGTCGAGGATAGATGTAGATGTCTACGGACCACAGCATCAACTCACCATAAGGTGAACTGTGTGCTCGTTTGTAACCCTATACTATAAAAAAAAAGTTTGTCTACCAAGTTGGCAAAAGTATTGTAATAATGTCCACCAGGCCGAATTTTGGTCACGGGCTGGAGACTATTCATCTCAATGTAGGACGAAATTATAGTGCAGAGTTTGTAGTTCTCTCTTTATCCTCAATTCTATAGTCGGATAGGATAGAAAGCCTCAATAAACCCGGGACTACTTACAACCACTGGCCCAACTAGAAAGCCAGTGGCATTAAACGCAATGTTCAGTTGATAAAGTTTTGACATAAGCGATCCCACATCATTTTAAAATTATAACTTAACTTTAACTTAACTTATCTTCACGCACAATCCCTGACGGGGTAGCCAGAGAGAACAGATCGCCAAGTGTCACGATTCTTACAAACCTCTTTCGCTTCTTTCAGATTCATTATCTTCTTCATGCATGCACGTCTAGGTATCCGAGTACTCTTGACCCTACCCTCTTCGGGCAATTTGCTCACATGGTCTTCGAAAATTAGTCTCGGTCTACCTCGACACCTTTTAATATTAACTTTCGCGCTATATATTTTCTTCACCATTCGGTCTTCACTCATTCGCTCAACGTGCCCAAACTACCTAAGCACGCCCTTATCAATTTTTGTGATAAGGTCATCTTTCAAACCCGCCATATTGCGAATCTCTTCGTTTCGCTTTCGGTCGGCCATGGTAACGCCGCACATTTTACGAAGAGATCGCATCTCCACTGCATTCAACTTACTCTTATGCTTTTTCTGGCATACCCAGGTTTCGCTGCCATATAACAAAGTCGGTACCATCACTGTGTTATGTATTGCAAGGCGTGCACTCTTCGCTACGCCTTGCCTTTTGACTAACGCAGTCAGGCCACCATTGACTTTGTTCCCGGCAGCGACACGCCTTTCCACATCTAAATCACATCTTCCATCCCGGCTAAAAGCACTACCCAAGTATACAATTTCATTTACCTGTTCTAGACATTCCTGATTTACCCATATTTCACACTTCGTTCTCTCTTCGTCCCTTTCAAATACCAGAACCTTAGTTTTATTAGCATTCAAACGGAGACCTTTAATTTCACAATCCTCTTTCATACACGTGACTAATGCCTGCACTTCTGCCTCTGATGTTGCAATAAGCACTGCATCATCAGCATACAGCAAACAATTTACTTTTATGTCACCCAATTTCACACCCAAACAGCTATCTTTCAGCTTCTGTAAACAGCTGTCGTGATACAGTATGAACAGCCAGGAAGACATGACACAACCCTGCTTTACGCCCGTTTGGACGTTAAACATGGGTGACAGGTCATGCCCTACCCGCACACAGGCTTTACAGTCACAGTAAAGAGACTGCACAACCCTTAGCAATCGACCATCCACACCATACCCCTGCAACAGTTCCCACATTTTCTTCCTTACAACCTTATCAAATGCTTTCTCAAGATGCACAAAAGCACAGAAAATCTTCTGGTTAGCAGCCAGAAGCTTTTCCGTGATCATGCGGAGAGAAAACATTTGATCCGTGCATCCTCTTCCAGGTCTAAATCCGCATTGTGCCTCCCATAGAAATCTTTCCGATTTCTCTTGCATCCTACGTGTCAAAACCTTCGAGTAAACTTTACTTGCTAAACTGGTCAAGCTGATCGTCCGATAGCACCCGCAGTCAAAATGTGAACCTATACCTTTATATAAAGGCACAATGACTGCGGATCGCCAATCATCCGGGACATCCCCCGTCCGCCAGCACAAATTGCACAGCAGATGAAAGCTGTCCCAGACGCGAGGCCACCATACTTGACCATTTCAGCAGTAACTCTGTCTAGTCCCGCAGCCTTACCACATTTCAAACTTCGAATCACACGTTCAATCTCTTTCATACTGATGACCTCAGTGTCATCGAGGTCCGGGTCTGGCGTACCAGTCACGGCGTCATCCCCGGATCCCTCACTAAGATCATCACACGCATATATTTCTCTATAAAATTCGCTCCATCGCTGTATGACGTCCGATTTTTCTGAGAGGACGTCATTAGTTCTCGAAACACTTTGTTCATTCTTAAGGCCGTCGCACCACTTCGGGTCCTTCCGACCTCTTTCCAGAAGAGTTTGGAGTTCTCTTTAAAGTTGTGCGACAACCTTTCGTCCGCTTCAATTCTACACCTTTCACGCACTTCCTCAATCAGTGCTTTCGTGTGAACTTTCTGCAGCCTATATCTTTCTTTAATATTCTCTCTCATATCCTTATCATTACTAGAGGCCAAGTAGTCTAACCATGCTTTCTTCTTCTTCTTTACAGCTTCTTTCACTTCATCATTCCACCATGCATCTCTTCTTTTACTACTGCCTCTTTTTATTGTTCCACACACTTCTTCCGTTGCACTTACCATTCCATCCCTAAGGTTCTGCCATGTTCTTTCTACACATTCTTTTCTGCCATCGATGATGTCAAGCTTTTCGGCTACCCTCGCATGATATTTGTCCCTAGTATCCGCTTCCTGAAGCTTCCAGCTTTGGATGCGACAGACCGACTGTGGTTCTGTTACTGCCGTCCGGTAGCGTCAACCCGCGAACAGACCCCTAAATCTAGTAATCACTAGATAGTGATCCGTTCCCAGGTCAGCACCCCTGAACACTCGCGTATCCATCACCTGTTTTCGCAGTCGGTCATCCAACAGGAACAAATCGATCATACTTCTCTCATTCTTTCGTTCTCTAGTATACATATGGATTTTCTTGTGATTAAACATAGTGTTTGTCACGAGAAGACCGTTTTCCTTGTACACCGCCAGTATAAGCTTGCCAGCATCATTAACGCTTTTATCGCCAAACTTTCCAAGTACCGACTCGTACCCTGGTCGAGCGGTACCAACCCATCCATTCAAATCACCACATACAACAATTCTTTCGTTTCCCCTAGCCAAATCTAGAACTTCTCTTACATTCTCCCAAAACTCCTCCAGCTCAGCCCTGGACGACGAAGCTACCGGCGCATAAACAGCCAAAAGGAATAACTTCGTCAGTCCCAATTTAAAGCGAACCCAGAGAAGTCTTGATTCACAACCTTATATTCAGTCATAACATCGACCAACCGAGAAGACAGCAGCACCCCCACTCCCTGGCAGGCGCTCTCGCTCTCCGGGACTCCGGACCATAGAGCTAACGCCCCGCCAGGGAGCTCTTCAGTACCACTGCCCTTCCGTTTGGTCCCCGACATACACACGACATCTAATTCTCTTTCTTTCATTATTTCGATCAACTCATTCGTCTTATCTCTCATGCCTCCTCTAACATTCCACGTGCCAACTCTGCACTCTGTCCTCCACCTTCCGCCGTGTCGGGCTGTGCGTGACGGGTGGCGGTCCCCATCGCCGCTTTGCGCGCTGCATTCCACACCAACGGGGACGAGCTGGTGTGCGTTGCCTTGGGGGGACGCCCTAACCCTCGTTGGCATGGGTGCGCAGCTGAGTAGAATTGCAGCCCTGAAAAGGGCTGGCAGGGATCGCGACGCTCAAATTATGATTTTGAAAATGCATATAAAGATGCTTAACACATGTAACCACTTTTAAAGTAAAGTAAAAGTAAAATATACTTTATTGTACACCAAGGAACATATAACAAAATTTATATAAAGGGACATTGGTACAACAGGCGGCCTTATCGCTAAGACAGCGATCTCTTCCAGGCAACCTTAGGGCAGAGGATACTATTTTTAAAAGATAGCGGAAGGGGTGTACAGAATATAATATAAAAAGAAGAACATAAGAGATTAAAGGAAATAAAAAGAAAAAAGTGAATGACGACAGGTAGTAACTTTAGAGGAAAGGTAATAAAGTTTTAATTTATTTTTAAATATAGGAAGAGATTTAGATTCTTTAATATGTAAGGGGAGAGAATTCCATAGTCGTATAGCGGTAACCGTAAAAGAATTAGAATAGAAGGAAGAGGAATGTCTAGGATTACTTAGAAGGAGATTATTTTGAGATCGTAGAGTTAAAGAGTGTAAACTACTTAAATATATAAATCGGTCTTTCAAATAAGAAGGAGTGGTCGGATTGAACAGTATGCAGTAAAGAAGATGAAGATTGTGATTTAAATTGTGGAAAAACTCGCAAACTCTGAAATTAATATTCATTGCGTTCAAACTGTTAGTTTTAACTGTTTTTTAATTTACTAATATCTAATTTGCAATTCCTATAAGATGTTTTCAAAACAACAAATCAACAATGCTTCCTTTTTAGGTTTTGGTCCTTACAGCTATATTATGACGAGTTTAACTGGTTTCATTATTATTTCACACGCGTGTATTGTATTCTCGGCCCCCATCATCATTCCTGCAAGCGCGTGTGAACTGAAGACCACCAACTCTCAACAAGGATATATAGCAGCGGGACAATTATTCGGTGCGTATGTTATAACCTAACGTCATTTTAAAATAAATCTATGGTTTTATCATTTGTAAACTAAATGAGACATTGTAACTCTAATGATTATTACACGTGCAGGGAGTCATTCGCTTCAGGCGGCTTAGGACGGTGCTTTGTCCGATCTGTCTGAGCCATCAGTTGTTGAAAACTATCTTTGTAGAGACCTGAGAGCGGTCAGTGGTGGACTTTTTTATGAGCTGGAACGATCTTTGAAATTAAACTATTTAAATCCAACCGTGTAGTGACGGTGTAAGAATATCCACTACCCCATACAATCTCGTGTATATCTTAAAAGGTGACAGAGGGAATTAAACTAAGAGATGCTCAGCAGCATCATCCTGATGACAGCTGAATAAAGATAAAAAACTGCAGCTACCAACCCGCTTGCAAGGTGTGGCAACTATGGCAAATATCCCCACTATGAGGCAATTTATGGAAGAAGCTTATGTTCAACAGTGAACTTATGAGAAGGTGTAATGTTAATGGTATATAAATCTTGTTTAAAGTCAAGTTAACAATAAAATTAATTAACAACACGACACTGAAAGCACGGTAATCAAATAACAAAATAATTAAAAGGTTATTTGACTATAATGTCAATTTAATTACATGCTTTTAATGGGTAATGAACATAATTTGTGTACTATTTTATTTATCTTTTTTTATTTTATTTCACTCTATATTGCTACACCGACGTCAAACTCTCTCCACTCGATGGATTGTGAGAATGCCTCATGGCATTACGTCTACTCTTTGTATTATTTTTTGTAAAAGGGAATGACATAAAGAATATATAATTAAAAAATTAAAAATAGCTGGAAATGCCATCATAGTTTCTTAGAGTCAAATAAGTAAATCCTTTTTTATATTTTCAAATCTTAGTATGTTTTTAGTAAAAGAAAAATGTGATTAAATGAAACCAATTTTACGGATTTTCCCGCGTTTAATTTTCACTTTTTAATCTCCGACGTTCTGGGTGCTTTACGGTACCCATGGTCACGAAGGAGACTGAGGTGTTTGACGTCCCGATTTCAGAGTTAGCCCGGCTATCTTCAGTTTTTAAATATTAATTTTAGGTCCGATCTAATTAAATGAGCTTACAGTATCTAAAAAATGTATAATTAAGCGTGATAAAATCCGTAAGTTAGTTTAATTTTATGAGTAATGTTCGCCTAAATATAAGAAATCAGAAATGTGTTTTTTCTATAACGAAAAAACAATCAAGTTTAAGATACTACCTACTGAATGTAACTAATTATACGTAGTAATTTATTAATGATGGTAAATATCGTAGCATAGAAACAACATAACCTATTAGGGTAAGATCAAAATATATACGATTTTTTTTAGTGTTATGACCCAGTGCTTGATTTCTATCCCTAATGATAGATGGTAATGTAGCCGAAGTTTGTAAAGTGCACTGAATTAGCTTAACAAAAGTCTATTCACTCTTGCCATGAAGACTTAGAATCAATATATGCGCTTGGGGCAAGGTATTTAGATCGTTTCACACTAGAAATTCTAAATAGGTATAATACTGGGCGGCGTTGTTGGTGGATACTTGGGTGACAAGTTCGGACGGCGTCGAGTACTACGTTTTACGCTCATCTCGGGGGCTGTAATCAACGGCATCACTAGCATCTCCGTCAACTGGATCATGCTTTTGACTATGCAATCCCTCGCATCATTTTGGTAAGTATTAATAGAGTAAACTGTTTATTGGGTCGTTTTCGTACTTTACTGTTTAAAACGGTTAATGCAGGCCTCTGTCACTCTTGCTACCTGCGTGAAATAATTACCTACAATTGCGAGCTGCCCCAGGGGTAGATCGCAGTGGGGGCTAGCGCGCTCTAGTCGATTATATGTAAAAAAATTTTTAACGCTGTTTACGTAAATAATTTCTTGTAAATACTTGTTGAAATACTCGTTGAAATGGTTTTTGTTTAGTGTTTAGTATCTTTGATTGTAGGATAAAATATTTGAAAAAGATTTAATGTAATTTAAGAATAATATATATGTATATTACCTATCTATTTAATAAATGATAATGGCAAAACGTCGTTCCTACTATAATTGTTGCGGGGATGGATGCTTAATGAGCAATTAAAAGGATTCAGATACATAATTTTTTGAGTTACCGAAGGTTAAAGAAAGGTAAATTTATTTCATTTTTTTTTGTTAGATAGGTACTTAAAGCGAAAAAACAATTAAGTAATAATTTAACTACAGAAGTAATACTTAAGTACTTTATTACAAAACTTAGTTGAAATTTACTTCACTACCCAAGTCTTTGTAGTTAAAATATTTTAAGTTATAATAGCACATAATACTGAAATTAAAACTTTGTTTACAAGATTTTCAACTAAGTAGATTACGATAATATATCTGTTAGGAAGCGTATTTCGGGTTTATTTGTTGTTTACGCTATACGAACCAAGATTCCCGACGAATGGCCTTGTAAGATACATGCGTTGGGCATCACGGAACTCATATAGTAGGTCCACTGCTGAACATAGGCCTCCCCCAAAGAATGCCACAAAGCACGTTCCTGAGCCACCTGCATCCATCGACTTCCTGCATATCTTACCAGGTCGTCACTCCATCTAGTGGGGGGACGCCCTACACTTCGCCTGCCGGTACGAGGCTGCCACTCGAGAACCTTACTTCCCCATCGGTTGTCGGTTCTTCGAGCTATATGGCCGGCCCATTGCCACTTCAGCTTACTAATCCGTTGGGCTATGTCGGTCACTCGGATTCTACTGCGGATATCCTCATTTCTGAGTTTATCACGCAGAGAAACTCCGAGCATAGGCCTCTCCATAGCTAGCTGAGCGACCTTGAGCTTCCTCATCTGGCCAGCAGTGAAGGACCACGTCTCAGTTCCGTATGTCATCACTGACAACACGCACTGGGTGTACAGTCTCGTTTTCAAGGTTTGAGGTATACCTGACGAGAAGATGTGCCGTAATTTCCCGAACGCTGCCCAACCGAGTTGAATCCGTCGATTGACCTCTCGGTCGAAGTTGGACTTACCTAGTCGGACTATTTGTCCCAGGTAAACATACTCGTCAACAACTTCGAGCCTAGTGTTCCCAACAACTACCGGCATAGGTGTGACATGGACATTAAACATGATCTTTGTTTTGTCCATGTTCATCTTAAGACCTATCCGTTGGGAAACACTATTGAGGTCATTGAGCATAGTGCTTAGGTCCTCCTGCGATTCTGCCATAAGGACTATATCGTCGGCAAATCGAAGGTGAGTGATGTACTCGCCATTGATGTTGATACCGTATCCTTTCCAGTCCAGAAGCTTGAAAACGTCTTCCAATGCAGTGGTAAAGAGTTTCGGGGATATGACGTCACCTTGTCTTACACCTTTCTGCAATTGGATAGGTTTCGTACTCTGGTTCTGTACTCGGATAGCCATCGTAGCCCTACTGTACAAGCACTTCAACACTTCGATATACCGACAGTAAACTTGGCACCGCTGAAGGGACTGCAGCACCGCCCAAATTTCGACGAAATCAAAGGCTTTCTCATAGTCCACATACGCCAGACATAGTGGCAAATTGTACTCCTCGGACTTCTGTACAATTTGCCGAAGGGTATGTATGTGGTCTATGGTACTAAAGCCTTTTCGGAAACCGGCTTGTTCGGGAGGCTGGAAGTCGTCAAGTCTGCGCGCGAGACGATTCGTAATGACTCTCGAAAACAGCACGTAGACGCGGCTCAGAAGGGAAATCGGTCTGTAGTTCTTCAAGAGAGCATTGTCGCCTTTCTTGAAGAACAAGACCACCGCACTTCTGCTCCACGCCTCCGGTGTAATGCCACCATTGAGGACGGAATTAAAGAGCTCATGAAGGACTCCAAGTACCGGTCTCCCACCCCCTTTCAGAAGCTCCGCTGTCATTCCATCCTCGCCTGGGGCCTTACCGTTTTTAAGGTGCTGGAGAGCCATTCTAATCTCGCTCAGACTGACGTCCGGGATATCATCAGAATAATGTTGGATAAGACTCGCTCTTGGATCGTTACTCATACTTGCGTGTGGCTCCAACGATGACGTGTACAGCTGCCCATAGAACCTCTCAATCTCACTCAAAATCTCAGGTGCCCCGGAAATTATGCTGCCACATTCGGTCTTCAGCTTTGACAGTTGGCTCTTTCTGGCAGACAGATCTCTGGCAAAGACTTTGGAGCCTTGGTTCCGCTCGATCGCTTCTTCAATACGAGCTGTATTGAAGTTGCGTAAGTCCCGCCGCATGCATTTGGAGATCTGTCTGTTCAGATGCCTGTATGCTGTCAAGTCTGTTGAAGAATGTAGCTTCATCTCCCGTCTAACAGCCATGAGATTAAGAGTGTGATCGGAGAGTTTTTGTGTTCTTCTGCGGCGGGTCTTGCAGAACTTAGCTCCGACCGCATGGACAGTTTTCACGAGCTTGTCATTTAAATCGTCCACATCATTGCAGTCTTCTAGGCACTGAAAACGGTTTTGTTACTCGACCTGAACGGTTTCGGGACTTTGGATTAGAGCACGAGGGGGACGGAGCGTTGACTTCATTAGACGAGACCTCCCCAACTTAACGTTTAGGTTCAGTGTGCCTCTAACCATTCGGTGATCGCTGCCGGTTTTCAACCTCGCGATCGCTGAGACATCACTGAACAGTTGTCGTCTGGTTGCCATAATGAAGTCAATCTTATTTTTGTGGAACCGTCGGGGCTCGACCAGGTCCACTTCCTGTGGGGCCGCTTCTGGAAGAAAGAGTTCATCATAAAGAGTCCCTCTTTCTCCATGAAGTCGGCCAGCTGCTGGCCCCTTGGGTTCCGTTGCCCTATTCCAAATTTCCCCACTTTCAGCTCACCGTTCTCTCTCGTGCCTAGTTTTGCATTGAAGTCTCCCATTAACACCGTATATTGGGTTTTGGAGGAATGCATGGCTCTAGAGATATCCTCATACATTTCCTCCACCTCCTCATCGGGGTGTGCCGAGGTTGGTGCGTAAACCTGTATAACCTTCAGCGAATACCATTTGGTGATTCTGAGTATAAGGTACGCAACCCTCGTCGACACACTCAATCTTTACAACGTTGTTAACGAGAGACTTGTAGACGATAAATCCGACACATCCTTGGGACAGATGGTCGCCCTCCCGGTGATAGAGCAAGTTGCCTGATTCGAGGATTACCGTGTCCTCCCCCTCTCTTCGGACTTCGGATAATCCTTTAATATGCCAGCGTAACTTGTCTATCTCTTCTTCCAGCTCACAATCTTCTCGTCAGTCCTCAGGGTACGTGCGTTGTATGTTGCCAGGTCGAGTCGTCGTAGGTGGCAACCGAACCTCCACCGGAGATTCTTAGCACCCCCTACCCCGCCGTTACCATGGTCGCCACCGTAGCCAGGAATAGCGGGGCCGCCGGGGACTGGGGGCCGTCTCTTCGTAACTTTCATTATGGGGGGTATATTGCCATAGTTGTCATGCTTGGTGAGCGGGTTGGCAACCGCAGTTTTTTTTTCATTGTATTTTTGCCGTTACCAGGAAGATGCTGCTGCCCATCTCCTGCCTGTTTCCCTTTGTCGCATTTTACGACACCCACGGGAAGATATGGGGTAGTGGATATTCTTAACCGCCACTACACGGTTTATAGTAGGTAATATGGTCGATTAAAGTCAGCATAGGTACTTTACCTAAGTAACTTACCATTTCGCAATGTATTTTTTTACTCTTTATTAACAGCCCTTAGCAACCACGGAAAGTCCATTGTAACGTAGTAAGGAGAAAAGATGCAAAGTAATACGGACACTCGCACGCAACGATAATGTTTTATTTTGCTTGCGTGCGCGATTTATCTGATTAATAATAACTATGAAGGCTATTAAAATGTCGCCAAGCAGTCAACATCAAAAGAGTGCAACTTCTGTACGTAGTACTATTATTTATTTTGTGGGTAAGGGCTAAGCGCTCGCTGTAAATTTCACAGTAAGTAAGTAACCCGGGTTCCAACCCCGCTGACACCCATGAAATTATTAATTGCAGTTTTAAATTTTGATTTAACACGTACTCGGCGGTGAAGGAAAACATCGTGAGGAAATCTACATCTCTGAGAAATTAAAAAAAAACCTATTTCCAAGACGTGTAAAATCTGGCAATACGTATTGGGACAGCACGCGCACAATTCCAAGGAATTAAACCCCTTGCTCTACTTTTACTAGTGTAATACTTTATTGTGATAATATGACGTAAAAATTTAGTTTTGGATTTATTGTAATATCTCAAAAGTTTTTTCAGTCCATCTCATCAACATTCTCATAACTAAAACCTATCATTAGTTCATTGCTAAACATGAGAATATTAATAGGATCAGGCGTTCCTTTGCAAAAATGACACATCATGCTCGTTTGCCCCCTCTCCTAAAAAAATCCATTTTAGCGGTCAGCCACTCCAGAATCTATTTCACCTAAGGATTCCTAATTTAAATATGAAACACGTGTAGCGAATTATTGACGGTGGTGTGTCTTTCATAGAATAGTGGTGTTGGGATTAGTGGTGACGGGGATAGTGCACGCAATTGAGGGAGAGCGGGTGGTGCCCTTCAAACTAGACAAGACATTTTCATTACACAGATCTTAGTTCATTAATTTTTACCATCTTTAACATAAGTACTTTGCCGCAAAGCACTATCTTTATTCTTATAATATTACAGTAGCCGGTTTCTCTATACTGCGCAAGGCGCCCTATCACTGTAGAATTTTCTTCTCTACTATTCTTTACTTCTACTTTCTACCCTATCATCTGCGCTGTGGGCATACTGCCACTAGCCCGGCACCTCCTCATGTTTTTATTTTGAAGGTCTGTTAATATATAAGGTCTATTAATCAATCATTCCTACCTATGAGATTTTCCGTCTTAGTGACCGACCGAAGTTCATCACTATATGGTGGTATTTAGACCGTATGGCCAGTAGATTCGCTGCCCCCAGTTAACGATACATTACTTTTTTATCTACCCGTTTTATAGGCGGTATTGGTCAGTAACGACAACGGCATGCTTAAATTTGTCACGTCACTCCTCTTTTTTTTTCTTACAGTGCAGCAAGTATATTTCCATTATCTATGGCCTTCCTCAGTGAGAGCGTTCCTAAGGGTAAAAGGAACCTACTGGTCTTATTGGTCAACAGCATATCCATAATGTCTCAAGGTATTCTGGCAGGTAAGCACCATTTCCAAAGCAACTAACATATCTATTTATATCAATACATTTTGAAATTTGTATTTTGATATTTCATTGCTGATAAATGCTGTTCTATCCGGTGAGAGAAATCTGGTATCTAGTAGAGCGATATAGCCCTCAAGGCTGACAACGAATATATAGCCTTCGACGTTTGAATTTGTTTGCAAGCTTTTATAGTCACCTTTTACCTTATATATATTATGTTTTGTTTTAATACTAAGCAAATGTTTTTCAGTAATCGCCATACCCATTATTCCGCTACCGTTCTCTTTCTACATTCCCGCTTTGGGCATCTACTGGAACTCTTGGCGAACTTTACTCTTCGTCTACTCTACACCAAGTCTTCTTTCTGCTCTATGGTTGTGCTTCACATTGAAGAGCCCAAAATATGTGTTTGCGCAAGGACTTGAAGAAGAAGCTATAGATATTATAAAAGCTATACACAGATGGAACAATCGGAAAACTGTAAAAGAAATTCAAGTAATATTTACTATTTAACAATTATTAATCAAAGTGAATACCTTTTAATCTTCTCGCATACAAATAATACAAATTGTATTAATTTTTTTTTTATAGAATAAGGGTGACACACGAGCACGCAGTCCACCTGATGGTGAGTGGTTGCTGTGACTCATAGACATCTACATCTATCTTCATTTGCGAATCAAAATGCAGATGCGTTGTCACCCGTAAGGACTAAGATGGAATGCCTCTTTTCCAGTAAAATGGGTCTCCGGTTCTCTAAACTCACCAAACGAACCACCATACACAGCAGCATTAAGCTGATATTTTACGCTGATATTCTGTGAGAGCGTGGTCCTTGCCCGGTCGAGCCGACCCATTCGTGCTATAACTATACTATTAATATAGCTGCAGCATGGCTCTACCACGTAACAAAATTACTTTTCTTATTGACTTGTAAGAGTCCACTGCTGGACATGGCAGACTCTGTTTCAGGGGCCTGGTTGACTCTGCTGCTCTCTGTCGGTCTGGGTATTTTCCGTCTCAGAATTAACGTGATGGTTGTATCATCTATATCTATGGCGTTTCCCATAGTCGCTTCTTACGACACCCATGGGAAGAATTTTTGGTTTATAGAAGTTATTTTACTTATGATTTTGTATTAAACTTTAAAATGATAAATAACCTAAAACACCTCTCAGAAATAAAAAAGGCCTGTGCGCAGTGTCGGAACGAATATATAATATAGCTTTCGTTTTTTACCTTACTTATATTAAGACCACGAAACTAAACTAATCTAAATCCAGAAAAGTTCCTCTAGCCAGCAGATATTGATCATAATGACAGCTAATTTAAAAGGATCACTGTACCTTTTTCAGATAAAGGGTTTGAGATTGGATGCAGAACAACTTGACGGACCGACGTCATCAAAGAACCAAATCGTTCCATTATTTAAAACACCCCTCCTGAAGTACACCGTGATCATGACTACGATGTTTTTGTTACAACAGTGAGTAACCACAATTAATCGATGTGGAAATATTTTTTATCTAAGGTCACGGCAGTGCCCCCGCCAAGTCGAGCAAGGGTTCAATCCATTCTTAAGGGTCTTTCTGTATTAAGTTATTACGTAATTAGCTAACCTAACAACATCTTATAGTGACCATATCAATATCAAAAATCTTTTATGTTTAAATAAACACATTGACTTGGCAATCGCACTAAACAATCTAATTTAATATAATATGTATTACTTGTGAGATACATTGTGTTTTCATGCGATGGTCAAGTCAATCTATTTATTTATAACATAAAAGATTTTTAATATTGATATGGTCATTATAAGATGTTGTTAGGTTAGCTAATTACGTAATAACTTAATACAGAAGGACCCTTAATAACGGACTGAATAAATTAACCGACTCGGTATTACATGGATCTCACAACTTTTAACGGTAGAAGAACTGAGTTGCGAGACTTGGTTTTTTTACAAGTTATGTTTTTTTTATGTACACACAAGATACAGAAACAGTCTTATAGTAAGTTTGTACAAATGTTCTACTTATTCCATAATTTCCTGAAATATTTTCCAGTAGACTCACAGAGGAAAATATATTAAAAAGGCAAACTTAGTGCATATAATACTACTACTACTACAACTATAAATAATATACAAAATATTACGTAAATTATATTAAACAATACTATAAATAAAAACAAAATAATACAATAAATAAAATTAATACATGCAATAGCTACATGTAATATATATAAACTAATACTTATAGAATAAAAGAATATATATTAATTAACAGGATGCAAAGAAATTATCTCTAACACTTTTTTTCAATATAAATAAATTGCTTCATAAAAATCAATTGGTTTTACAAATGGTCGCTCGACAACTGACGCCGGAGTTGACCTTATTAAGCATATTTTTATTTTTGCATGGGAGAATATAGAGGATGCTTTGGGTATATTTTGTGACCTTTCCAAGGCCTTCGACTGTGTTTACCATGATACATTTGTCAGGAACCTACAGTACTACAAAGACGTATTAATAACATTATTATATTTTAAAGTGGCGCAGGTAGTACTATATCTACGTACAGTTATTTATTATGACACGTTGCGCTAACAAAAAGAGACAAATGATACGGCATACTAATCGTTAGAAAAACATGAATATACATCATTAGTTGCGTATTGATTGCTGCTGAGCGCGCGAACGAGCGCGTGACATACCGATATGGAATGAACACACTAGCTAGCGTCAAAGTTTACACTAGCGATTAGTGTTGAAATAATAAAACCAATTATGAACAAAACATCTACATTCAAAATAATAATGAGACGTTTTTCTTGTCTCTAACAGTTGCCTTGTAATGTGTGCACCACCTAAAAACACAGGAAGGCATTTTTACCACGAATAACTAGAAGATTTACGCACTGTAGCGAAGGAGCGAAGGTATAGCCGCGACGCGAGAGCGTGCCCGAATGAATGCGAGTCGGGCAATTACCTGACTTTCGTATTGCCATTTTAGAGCGAGTATGACGTATCTATACTTTCAAAATATCTCAGCAGTACTATGGTATCAAGAACATAGCGCTTAAACTTATTATTTCATATTTAATTAATAGAACGCAGAAAGTTATTATCAATGGTAACATTTTTTCAGGGTCAGTTGTACTAATAGGTGTCCCTCAAGGCTCAGTTCTCGGCCCATTCATATTTCTAACGTATATTAATTGTTTAAACTCTCTTGTAGGGGTATAGTAGGTAGGTAAATGTGACGAACTGAAGAATGTTATATCAAAATTAATGCATTGATTCAACGTTAATAATCTATACTTAAACGGCAATAAAACTAAATGTATTAAATTTACAACACGGAATGTTAAATATCTGAATACCAATGTGGTTTTAAATTTGGAGGAACTGAGCCCTGTTGAATCTACTGTTTTTCTTGGCATCACTCTCGACGCAAAGCTTCAGTTGAGCCCCCATATATCCAAACTAGCAAGCAGACTAAGCTCTGCAGCTTATGCTGTAAAAAAGATTAAAAGTCTCACTAGTGTTGAGACATCTAAATTTGTGTATTACACTTATTTCTATAGCATAATGTCTTTTGGGATATTGCTATGAAGCAATGCGGCTGATTTAAAACTATTCTGGCTACTTCCAAAAAGGAAACGGTACTCAACTCGACTGTATGTTTTTTTATGTGTGTCACCTCATAACTTTTTACTGGTTGAACCGATTTCGATGATTTTTTTTGAAAGCTGGTACTTCTAGGGTGGACCCATATGAATTTGATCAAGGTCAGACCAATAGTTTTTGAGTTATTCTTAGCGGTGGATGACGGAGAACTTCCAACCCCAGCTCTTGTAACTTGGAGGCCGTCTGTTGTCACAAATTGTCGTGCAAGAGCAGCGGGGACGAGCGATTGACCAAAGCTGAATGGAGACGTGCGAGCTTCTCCATCATTGCATTCAGTTCTGCACAGTTCACATCTGTAGTAATGCTCAACCCGTTTGGTAAGAAGCTGTGATGAATCACACCGGCGCTAGACCACCAAACAGTGACCATCACTTTTCTAGGGGTAAGTTTTCATTTAGGGCATTGTTTAGGTGTTGACCCCGGATTCAACCAACTTGCTGAGTGCTTACGATTGTCAAACTATTTTTCGTCGCAGGTAACAATACGGTTCAAAATTTCTTCGTTTATGTGCCTGTTGAGCAGTGCAAGTCACGTCTCGATGCATACTTCGCACTGGTGATCATAGAGTTCGTGGAGCACCATTTGTCAAGCTTTTTTACCTTTCAAATTTGACGTCAATGACCTAATATAGTTTTGATGCTAACGTCAAAATCTGCTACTAATTCAGCCGTAGATTGAGTATCATCACCTTCCACAATCGCCTTTAATTAATCATTGTCGACCAAAGTTTTTAGGCGACCACGGGGTTCATTTTTCAGGTCGAAATTTCCAGAAAGGAAGCGGGTAAACTAATAACAGGTGGTGCGTTCGCTTGTAGTATTCGCTCAGTAAATGTCGTTAATGTAGCGTGCCGCTTGTGCGGCGTTATAGCCATGACTCTATTCTACTAACTAATCGAATTATTAACGTATCCATGATGACAAAAAAGATTCATATGCAATGAAAACATAACGCTAATCAATAAATAAATGACTGATTTTGATGAAATAATTCCATTTTTTTTAATAAAATTAACTTGAAACTAGAATTCTTAGCGGAACAAATTCTTTTCTGCCGACTTCCAAAAAGGAGATGGTACTCAATTCGACGCGTATGTTTTTTTTTTATGTGTGTTACCTCATAACTTTTTACTGGTTGGACCGATTTCGATGACTCTTTTTTATATGAAAGCTGATACTTCTCGTGTTGTCCCATATCAATTTGATCAAGGTCAGACCAATAGGTTTTGAGTTATTTGAGTTATTCTTGATAACTTATATTGAAGTCGGCTGTACAATTTTTTTTATTTTAAATTATTTTATTTCAAATGGCCAGTACTTCATAACGGCAATTTCGTAAGTAAAAAAAACCTATTATAATATTTAGTTTACGTGGTAGAGCCATGCTGCAGCTATATTAGTAGTATAATTGTGGCACGAATGGGTCGGCTCAACCGGGGAAGGAGCGCACTCTCACGGAATACCAGCGTCAAATAGCAGCTTAACACTGCTGTGTTTCGTATGGTGAGTGTAGAGAACCGGAGACCCTTTTTACTGGAAAAGAAGCATTCCATCTTGGTCCTCACGGGTGACAACGCAACTGCATTTTGATTCTTTATTGAGGATAGAAATGCGGATGTCTATGGTTTACAACAACCACTTACCATCTGGACTGGTGACTCGTTTATCATCCTATCCTATAAAAAATAGTCATATCGAGATAAAAACTGTTGCTGTTGGTTTGCATACTTAATCTATTTGGCGTTAAATGTAATTACGTTCATCATATCACACTTGTGTATGATTATGACCGGGAGATATTACGGTATACCGGGCACAGTTAGTATTATTTTAATTAAATATCACAAAAAATCTCTACATGTATAAGTATTAATACCTCTAGTAATAAATTAAATCGGTTCTTAACAAATATTGCGAAACAAAGAACTATGAATAGTTCTATATCGTGTAACTTTGTTTGACGTGGAAGAATAAGGTTACGATCAAAGTCGCTGGCTTGTTCAACTTTATTAGTTACAATGTACTGTATTACTTCTCAACAGAAACAAGTATCTGTGATAAGATACCTACCTACTTACTGCCAGGGCATTAGTAAATAATTCATTTTATATACTCTTTATTAATTGGATAAATTATAGCTGTTTTTCCCTTGTCAATAGGTTATTTGCAGAGGTTATTGTCTTAGAGTAATTACACACGTATTATCAATTCAATGATATTTGTAATTGTTACAATGTAATATCAAAATTATTTTATTATTGTATTGTATATAGTAAGTCCAGTAACATTGTTTGATCTGGTTCCGTAGCCTCCACAAAAAAAAATACAAATTAAATCTTTTCAAAAAAAATTATTTCAAGTATTTTATTTTATTTATACTTAATTTGGTATTTGGTTTAAAATTAATATAATCTAACTTTAAGTAGCAAACTTTATTTTTAATTATTATATACATATGAATTTTGTGCAAGCTGTGTCTATATACAGTTTATTTGCTGCAAAAAGAGATCTGCCACATCAAATTTACAAGAAAATGACGTATGCTAGGAAGCGATGGCTACCTTTCATATATAAGTAATTTTTAATCACATTATTGCTATCTACTTCTTTTTAAACTTAAATATTACAATAAAAACGATCGTGTTGTTTCGGGTTTGTTCATCAACACAGGCCACTCGCCCTTATATAATAAGAAATACGTCGCGCCGCTCAGACGCGTATATCACGCGTCTAAGCGGCATAACATGACTTAACAACTAGTTCAAGCATTTTAGATAGCAATGTATGGAAAAATTGGTAAAATTAATAAATTCCTTTTATCTATCGGCATATGTACATTAAAGAGCGAAGTTACATTTTAATTTTTCATTATCTCTTGAACTATGCGTCCAAATATAATGCTATAAAGAGCAAAGTTTATCTTCATAAAATTTTCTTGATGATGAGGTAACTTTTTGTAAGAACTAATATGCCATGCCAAATAATAATAAATTAATTTTCAATAATTTTTGTCACTATATACTTTATTGTGGCATGTGTATAAGAAATAGGCATATAGTATCGCGGACTTTTTTAGACGAAGTAAAGATCTATATTATTGTAAAAATCAATATTTAAGGCTAGCTGAGAGCTGAAAGGTTTTTTTTTTATAAGAGAGGATGTGCGTTCGTGAAATTTGGCGGCTGGGATTAATCCGAACAATTCCTCAAAGCACTCCCCATGGTAGATGCGAAAGAAAATGCAAAGGGATGCAACATCTCTTCACAGTGCCAATGAATCGAGCCGATCGGAAAGGGCTCGGTCGTCGACGATTCGAGCCGCTCTGCACTGGATGCGGTCAAGTGGAAGGAGCTGGCACTAGGGAGCCCCTGACCAGAGATGGGAACAGTATTCCATGTGAGACCGAACCTGCGCCCTGTAAAGTTGCAGGCGGTGTGCCGGCATGAAATACTGTCCCGCTCTGCTGAGCACGCCAAGCTTTTTAGAGGCCAATTTGGCCTTCTCTTCCAAGTGACCACGAAACTGCACGTCACTCGATATGTCGACTCCGAGGATACCGATACTGGCTGAGGCAGAAGGGGAGTGCCTTCAAACTGAGGAGATACAACAAAGGGGTTCTTTTTAGCGGTAAACGCGCAAACTTGTGTCATCTGAGGATTAAACTGGACTAGATTTAGTCGCCCTCAATCCGAGACTTTGTTCAGCAAAGACTCGACTTCAGACACAAGTTTGTTCCGGTACTCGGCGACGTTTTCCCGAGAAATATTGGCACGGCCGGTGTATAGAGCATCACCAGTGCTGTCATCCGCATAGCAATAAATGTTACCAGTTAGCAACATATCATTGATATGCAGAAGAAACAGCGTTGGTGATAGCACAGCCTTGTGGAAAACCAGTGTTAATAGGCTTGTAGATAGAACATGCACCGTCTACAACGACCTTGATGCTCCGATCTGCAAGGAAGCTGGTGATCCAATTACACAATTTCTCGGGAAGCCCATAGGAAGGGAGCTTCGAAAGAAGCGCTTTGTGCCAAACCCGATCGAAGGCCTTCGCAATGTCCAGACTTAAGGCCAACGCCTCCCCCTTGGACTCTACTGCCTCTGCCCATCTATGGGTCAGGTAGACCAGAAGATCACCAGCTGATCGACCACGACGAAACCCGTATTGGCGGTCACTAAACAGCTGGTGATCCTCAAGGTACCGGATGAGCTGGCAGTTAATAATGGATTCCATTATTTTGGAGAACAAGGAGGTGATCGCGATTGGCTTATAGTTGGACGGGTCTGAGCGGTCGCCTTTTTTAGGGATCGGGTGTACCAAAGCTGTCTTCCATGAATTCGGGACTACGCCTTGAGAGTAGGAGTACCGGAAAAGACGCGTTAAAACCGGTGCCAACTCCGGAGCACACGTACTCAGCACAATTGGGAGGATTCCGTCAGGCCCACTCGACTTCTGGATGTCCAGAGAGAAGAGTGCTTTGCGAACCGAGCGTTGTGTAAACCGCACATCCGGCATGGAGCACTCACATCGCGGAATGGTCGGCGGTGTGTTCCCCCCGTCATCAAGAGTCGAGTTGGACGCAAAAAGGGAGCCTAAAAGGTCAGCTTGGTCTTTTGCGTCTTGGGCCAGTGAGTCGTCCTCCCTGTGCAGAGATGGTAGTGATGGCTTACAGAAATTCCCTTGGACAGCCTTGGCGAGAGACCAGAATGCACGGGTTCCCGAAGGAAGGCGAACTAGTTTCTCGCCAATTCTGCCTATCTGCTCTGACTTTGCCTTGGCAATAACTCTTTTGAAGGACCTGGAGGCGAAGTTATACTTCTTTTTAAGTGTGCTGGTGTTTACATCCCGAGTCGCCGAAGCCGCAGCCCAGGCTTGATAACACTCCTGCTTACTGCGTAATACAGTCTTACAGGAGCGACCAAACCAAGGCTGAGATCTGCCTCCGATGGGTACCACAGATGATGGAATAAATAGTTCCATTCCCTGTAGCACCACATAAGTGACAGAGTCAGCAACAGCGCTGGGATCATCCGGCGAGAAGCAAACCCACCCCCATGGGTAGGATGCAAAGAAAGACCGCATTCCGTCCCAATTCGCCGACCTGTAATGCCAAACACGGCGGCAACCTGCAGAACGCAACCGCGAAGGGAGCGTGAGTCGAGAGGGGCATCGACGGAAACCTGATATCCATCCGGATGAGAGGTCAGCAGAAGGTCCAACAGGGAAGGTGTATGATCCTCCACATCTGGAATCCGCGTAGGCGAAGTAACCAGTTGTGTCAGATCATATGCCAAGGCAAAGTCATAAACAGATCTCCCCGCATGATCGGTTAAATGTGAACCGAGCCATTTGGCATGGTGGGCTTTAAAATCGCCAAGGATCACGATCTCTGCGGATGGGACCTGTTGTAGCAAGGAATCTGTAGCCATTTGGACGTGGTCGATGAGTCGGTCTGTTTCGGCATTCCCGCTATGGGACCTATAGAGGCACTCGTAGACGCGCGGATGGTCGTCGCTGTCTACGCGTAGCCAAAGGATGGATAGGTCCGAACCTTCAAGACTGCCGAGGCGTCGAGAACAGATGTCCTCACTGACATACACGCAAACTTCAGCCCGAGGCACAAAGGAGTGCTCCAATTTGTACCCCGGGTAGGAGAGATACGAAATATCAGCCGGAGAGGAAACCTGCGTCTCGGTCAGAAAGAGCAAGGCCGGTTTCGCCGTCTCGAGATGGTAGTGGACGGCGTTTAGGTTAGAGTGAAGTCCCCTGATGTTGCAGAAATTCATGGATCCTCATACATTTGGCTATAATATACCTAACCAAATTACACGATAGATATGTGGTGAGCGCGGGATCAGCGCGCAGCGGGAACGAGGCGGGCGCGTGATGGGTGCAGGGCGGGCGCGTGCCGTGGGCGAGGCGTGTGCGGTTGAACGTCGATAAATGCAATTTCAGATTTATTGATTTGTCATAAGACTCAAATTATGTGCAACAAATTTCAAAGCGGGTTAGACGAGGGTGCTGACGCGCGTGGCGTTCGCGTAGCGGGTGCGTGTCGTCGGAACGTGCCCTTATTATATTATTGAATTACAAATACAAATAAATGAAACTAACGTCAATTAAAATAAAACGTCATTCAAAATAATATTTATTTCATGGCCAGATAAGAAAAAGTGCGAGGGAGATGGATATTATTCCATCTCGCTCGCACTATAGAAAGGGGGCCTTGACGGAAAAATCTTACACTTTTACTAGCCTAGCCCCCCGTCAAAATCGTTCCTAAACTGAATTTTGCTTACCAAGCGTGGCAAATATGGCAAAATCCTCCCTCTGAGGCAATCTGTTTGAGAGGCCTTTGTTCAGAAGTAGATATAGGTTGTATTTCTTTTATCTTAAATTATTCGTTTGTAATGAAATTATTTTTATGCAGAATTGGATCATTCACAATCTGGATGCCGACAATTGCGAATCATTTCGTGGAGATGGTGAAAACGGGAGTAGGCACCGACAAGAGTCTGTGTAACATTATCAGAGACAGCATAGAAGCGCCGGTTGATGTGAGTTTTAATATGGGCCTTTAGTCAAATTGAAGTAATAACCCTTATAATAATATTAGATGGTACCCGGCGCGTTGTGCCCGCGAAAGAAGTAATTGTAGAAATATCGTTTTAAATTTAAAAGCGTTACATTGTTTAATTGGGAATGATAATACGAGTACATTCATTGAAGTTGAATGATATATAACTTTTAAATAAATTTGTCGGTACGATACGCGCGCCACCTACTGTAAGTTAATTATACTATGCCTACAACCTTCGCGCAAGTGCAAGCAATAAGTTGACAACAACCCGGGTTCAGTCCCCGCCGGCACCAATGAAATTGTTAATTTCAATTTTATGTGCCGATTTACCACGTGCTCGGCGGTGAATGAAAACATCGTGAGGAAACCTTCATGTCTGAGAAATAAAAAAATCGAAGGCATGTAAAATCTGCCAACATGCATTAGGACAGCGTGGTGAATACTTCCTTGCCCTAAAACCCCCTCAGAAGTGAGTGGAAGCCTGTGCCCTGTGGGACTACTTTATTTTACTTTACGTAATCGTATCCACAGATAAATATATAGAAGTCAATGACCCGTATCCGTAGTCTTCTAATCATTTATGTATTGGAGTGAAAATAGTTTAATTTTATATGAGTATTTTCGTTAATGTTTTCACTTTATCTTTTAAATTACCTTTTGCAGCAAGACATAGCACCGTGCGCCCTGAAAGTAACATCACTACTGTTTGTTTTGTCGGTGGGCGCTCTGCAGTCGTTGGTTAACGCTTTACTAAGTTTGGTAAGTATAAAGTTAATAAGTTCACTTTAAAATTTCAATCATTATTCAACAAACTACAGCAACCGTGTAGTGGCGGTGCAAGAATATCCACTACCCCATATCGTGTCGGAGAGGTCGTAAAAGGCGACAAAAGGAAAGGAGATAGGCAGCAGCATCAGGATAACAACGCAAAATAATAAAAAACTGCCGTTTTCAATCCGCCTACGAAACGTGACAACTATGGCAAAATCCCACGGCAATATCAACGGGGTAAGTCTATGTTTAGCAGTGGACTTTTATAGGCTGTAATTGATTAATGGGAAGCCTTGTAAACCATTTGTATGGTTCATTAGGAAATCAAAACCCGCGTAAAAGAACACACAGCTGACGTAAAACACCAACGTTCCGGGAAGTCTGCAGTTTGTGATCATATCCTAGACGGCCCCCGCCATTACATTAGATTTGATAAATCACAAATTCTAGCGATAGAACATCGATTCCTGCCAAGGATAATTCCTGCAAAGACGCAGTCGCACCCCAATGCTATTAGTTTTAATACTAGTATCGCATCTGGTGTGTTTCCTGATTTAATGAAACACGGTAAAGTTACCTTTATTTTAATCTGATGGAACATTTTAAGTTTATATAAGTTTTATCATTGGACACAGGCCTGCTCTCATTTCTGAGATGGTTTTATGGCAAGAAAATATCCGCCGCGCATCCCCAATACGTGTTGACAGACTTTACTTGCTCATTTTTTTTCCCTTTCTCAGATATATAGATTTCCTTACGATGTTTTCCTTTACCGTCGAGTACATGATAAATCAGCAGTTAAAAACCATTTCATTCATCAATTCATATTTATATAACAATTCAATTCATATGACCGTATTGCTGAATCGAACCGTGGTTTGCTCGCGTACTGTGAAATTTACAGCGAACGTTTAGCCCCTAATCCACCACGGCTCTGAATCCAATGGACATATTACTTTTCAAGAATGCGCCAATTGATCTGCTCTTCGTAGAATATTCCTCCATACTCCATACATGCAGTGCCTCACCCCCAGTCGCTGAATTTTGGTCTTAGAAGTTTCGCACGTAGTTTACATTATCAATCGATCGCCAGGCATTCGTCCATCAAGAAGCAGGATTACTATGCAATATATATGTTAACACATAAATTCTCCATAGGTACATATTTTTGTTAATTAAACAGATACATATTACAAAAACTTGTTTTGCATTAAAATCCAGGTCGTGAACAGAGTTGGCTACCGCAACATGGTAATATGCGTTACAATTGTGTCTGGAACGTCGGGCGTCATAGTCAACCTCATACCCAACGCCTACACTAGCGCCTTTTTCTTCATGATCTTCGTGACCGGAGTCTTGGTTACGGGAATGTACATGGCCATTGCCGTCACATTGTTCCCTACTCATCTCAGGTGATTTACTATTAATTTATTATTTTCTTACTTTCTTTTACCAGTATCAATCAACAAGAAATTATCCTTAATACTACTCCCGCAGATGAAGAATGTGATTATAAATGGCGTTTCATGATTTCACCTCTCGCTTGCACACTGCCGATGTCTATACTCACACCCACCGGTAATGACCACAAAAAATGAAGTCAATAATGTGTTACGATAAGCGCTCTTGTGCTTCTAATTTTAAGCCCGACTAACAAAACATCAATATACTTTTGTTTTATGAAGTATCAATTAATAAATTAAAAAAATAAATATTATTTGTTATTTACATTCTTATTTTATATCCAGTTAATAATTTAAGTATATAGTTCAACTGATTTTAATATACTAATCAGTTTATTCCAATAACAAAAATTTTCAAATACATTATAATTAACAATAAACGAACATAACCTATATAACATAAAGAACATTTTAATTAATATAATAACGTTATTTGTATCATAATGATGTAACGTTATAAGCACCGCTTTCGCTTTACCTAACGTGTATACTAACCTCAGAGGAAATATTAGCATATGTATGTCTTGCATATTACTCTCATATGCTGACCGTACAGGCTCGGCTAGTCGCCATTTCTAATCCCATTCTTTAACCATATGAGTAATAACAATTTGTTTAAAAACTGCTTTACAAATAAACTCACTTGTAACATTATTTTTCACTAATAGTGCACATGTGCAGACATTTAATATACAATATTGCACCACTTTTCTGCCGACTTCCAAAAAGGAGACGGTACTCAATTCCGTATGTTTTTTTTGTGTGTTACCTCATAACTTTTTACTGGGTGAACCGATTTCGATTATTCGTTTTTTGTGCTTTCCATATAAATTTGATCAAGGTCTGACTAATAGTTTTTGTGTTATTCTTAATAATTTATATTAAAGTCGGTTGTATAAAATTTTTAATTTTAAATTATACTTATCAAGATCCACTTTAAACCATTTTAAATACATTATTACAGGAACGGCAATTCAATGAGTGTACAAACACAACGTATTACGAGTACATAATCCGCCGGTGCTCAAATCGCCGCCAAAACCTCCTGAATTATTATTTTTTTACTACATTAATAAATTCAGACAAGTGTGAAAAATTATCGAGTTGTGAAATTTTTAGAAGATTTTGACGACAGTTCGATCCTGAGACAGTCGATGACGGTAGTATCAAAGGCGCCTTAGTAGACGCATTATCTTGAGGTTCACATCACCATCAGAGCATTTTTGTTTCATTGTTTATGGTAATTGTTACATGCGCTGACATTTAATTATAGTATCAAAATCATATAATGATAAATATTAAGAATCCTTTGGTTTTGTTGTAATTGTATAAACGTTTGGGATGTGCATTGATAGATGACTCAGTTACTCGAAATATCATTTATATAGATAACGGTAGGAAAAACAGAGCACTCTTAATTATAATAGATATTTAATAGAGTTTTAAATTATTGTTTAAATCATATGATCATTTAAATTTATTTTTAGAGCCAACGCGTATTGCTGAATCTAGTGCAACGTGTATATTATTTATGTTATATTATTACAAATATTCATTATCAGGAATTAGGTAACTTCAAGTACCTGCCTAATGCTTTGAAATTTATTATTTCACATTTAAATTACAGAATGCAAAAAATTGTCATTTGACGGCTCCGTGGCGCAGTGGCTTAGCAATGAGTTGCTGCGCTGGGGGGCGCGGGTTCGAATCCCGCACGGAACAAGTATTTGTATGGCCTACAAATGATTGTTCCGGGTCTGGATGTTTGTCCTTGTGAAATTTGTGTTTGTAAACTGCCTCCACGATACAGGAGAAAATCCTAGTGTGGGGGTAACGTTTTTTTAAAAAATAATAATAATAATAATAAATAATGGTATGAGTTCTTCTGGGTCGATAGTACAAATGGGCATGCCTCGCGGCTCAATTCACGCTATAAAATTCTGGCTGAATCGAGAGTTCGCGAGAGGTTGCGTCACTATAGCTGAGCGTCATATCGATGGTGGTAAGATGGAATTGAGGGTATATAGAGAAACACACACTCGTTTTTGCAGTATAAAGTTCACTGTAGGCGCCGTGAGCGAGAAATTCCGTGCGTGGTAGTATTACTAACATAGTATCGTGGTTCTGTCCATTGTGGTGGTTCTTCTGGTACAGGCAAGGAAGATGCTTATGGCTGAGAGACTACTCTGTGTGACACTGAAATATGTAGTATTGCTTGATTTGATGTTAAAGTATTTCAGGGTTTTTGTCGTCTTTATCGTCTCAAATGTGTTTCAGAGCACTGGCTGTAGCTCTAACCTCGACTGCAGGAAGTATTGGAATGATTGCCTCGGTACAGATCCTTAATCTGCTGCTCCAGATCAACTGCAATGCTGGTTTCTATTTATTCAGTGGTCTTTTTGTTGGTACGTATTTTTGTATATTCCCAAATTATTTAATTTTGTGATTTCATATCTTATTAATGAAAGTAAGCCTGACAAACAAGCACACATTCCACCTGATGTTAAGTAAATGCTGTTTCCCATAAACACATACATATTTTTGGAATATAAATCATAATGCATATGCGTGGTCATTAAGTCTTATTACTAGGATAGAATGCCTCGTTGCTAGTTTACAGGCTCTTCAATTCTCACCTCTCACCATTAAATACAAACTGTGCGATCGCGGTATTTCCTCGGTCGTGCTCACCAATTCATATGAACAAAATGTATCGTATCGTACCTTATTTTAGTATTAATCTTAAAATTTAGCAATTGGTCATTTCTGCGTAGACATAAATTTTCAAAAAGTATAATCTTCTTATGATACTAAATTAGCAGCGCAAAAATAAAAATTCGTTAAATGATTCATCTGATATATATGTAAATCCGCTCCCTCATGTAAGGGAATCCCATATTCAACTGGGTACATTAAACGGGCTGAAGTAGAAACATTATTTGTAGGTAGTTAAAATAAATAAAATATAAAAAAGTGCTAGTGTATTGCAATTTTATTCCTGAACTTTACTTCTTATCTTTATTCTCTCTCCATTTCTTATGTTTATTAAAAAATCTAGCAACCCGCCCCGATTTCGCCTTATATGTTTATGTATTTATTGTTTATTGTTATATAATTCAACAAACTATATTTATTATTTATTTATTTATTCCTTATTGCATTCTTTAAAACAAAAGAATACAAAGGGCGATCTTAATGCCTTGACGCATTCTCTACCAGTAAATGGAACAGTGAGAATTTTACGTAGGTGTAGCATATCTATATCTATACATCTATATCTATACATCTATACAAATAAATAAAATTGAAGTGTCTGTTTGTAATGTCAAAATTACAGTTTTTTACTAAATGCATATGAAAGTAAATACGATACCTATAACTAAAATACAATTTTTAAAATGTTTGTCTGTCTGTCTGTCTGTCTGTCTGTTTGTTCCGGGTAATCTCCGAAACGGCTGGACCGATTTTGACGGGACTTTCACTGGCAGATAGCTGAATTCATAAGGAGTAACATAGGCTACTTTTATTTTAGAAAAAGAATCAGGGTTCCGCGCAGAAACATAAAAACCCTAACACGCGAACGAAGTCGCGGGGAACAGCTAGTATAGAATAAAAAACAAAATAAAAATGATAATTAACTAAGTAATATACACATCTAACTAATAAAGGAACTATACAAATGTAACATATACATACTTAAATTCAAATACATACATATATACATATACATATACAAACATATGTACATAATTATATAATTAGTACACACAATAACTATGAATAAATACGTCTGTTTAGCAATACAAACGAATTGGACGATTCATGTAAGATGTGTTGTCTTTAATATATGATTACGTACCAACATTTTGAAAGCATTCTTATTGGGAGTTTTTCTGATGTCATCGAGCAACGAGTTCCAAAGACATGTAGCCTGAACTGTAAAGCATTTACCATAGAACTTTGTTAGAAATTAATGTATTTTAACTTTATGCTTGTAGCATTTTAATTAGTCAAAATATTATATCTAAGATATGTTTAAATTACTTTGTAGTCAATATTATTATTATTTATTAATAATAATATTGACCTGCAAAGACCATTACACACATTAATACAATTACGGAAATATCGGCGTTTAACTGCACGGCTTGGCTGCTATGGTTGAGGCGAGCAGTAGACTCATGAGACGCTTTGCGGCTATTAGCAAGGCGTGGTGATTATGCAATTGATGGTGATGCCTTAAACTTACATCACGTCTACAGAAGTGGCGGTCTGGCAGGTGGTGCCGTTCACGAAGGGATTTTATGGCCAGTGTGCCTATTATTCGACGTGTGGCCTCAATCGTGTGACGTATATCGACTGTAGCTAGATTTGATCGTATTCTGTAGGGTGTTTACACTCATTGCCATGCGCTACTTCGGTCGATGTTTGTGCTTACGCACTACCAAGGGGAGAAGCTCTCTATTACTGGTCACCAGTTATTTTGCTGTGGACTACGATCCAGTTCCTTCCCTTAACATTCTTCCTCATGGGGAGCGAATTGGTTGGTAGGATCTCACCGCACACGACGTCTGCGGAGCCGTGTGCCTCCCCCAATTTTTTTTAAATGTGGGAAAGCGAATCCGTTTATTTTATATAAATATTGTGAGCCGTTTCCAAGCGGGAAGGGATTAATTATTAAGGAATTAACTCATGTGGAGCTCATACAAGTGGAGTAGGGACGATTTAATGTTCTTTACCTTTTTGAGCCCTTTCTTTATGAAAAATAATTATGAGGCACTACCAGAATCTTCCAATTGCTCTAGTGAATATTCATTCTTCCAAGAGATACATAAAAGAACTAAGTTACTAAACAAACACAACGTAAATAAGGGCCCTAACTATGACGATCACGCCTTAAATAGTGTGTGTAGTTATGTGTATATAAATATATCTTTAATTTTTTACTATTTTGGAAGGTTCAATAAAGATTAAATAATTTATTAATTATATACGCTAAAACATAATTAAAGCTATTAGAAACATGGGTATTTGGTTTTTTTAATAATAAAATTTTTAATTTACCTCTGACGTGTGTAAAAGTTATTATATATTATATATAGAATAGAATATATATAATATATTCTATTTCTATTCATATTTAGAACCCTCTTTCATCATTGATATATTCTGGGCCCCTACGACACTATAAAACATCATGGTTTTATAAGATTGGGAATCCTAGTGATCGCATTCTTTCATTCATCAAAAGAAGGCATTTTCAGCCTTCTTTTTTATTATCAATATGTAACAATGCATTACTGTTCCATTATTGTCCTCTACAATTTATTTTGCTGCAACCGCCACACATCCAGTGGTAAAAGTAAAAAATGTCTTTCTATTAGAATTATATCTGATCTATATTTAATAAAAAAATATTCTATTCTATTCCTTTCTATTCCGTTACATTCCATACTATTATGTTCATTATGTTCCATTATATTCCATTCTATTCTAGTATATTCCATTCTATTCTATTGTATTCCATTCTCTTCCGTTCTATTCCCTTTTATTTCTTTCTGGTCCATTCCATTCCATTCTATTCTGTTCTGTTCTATTATATATTATTATATTCTATTTCTATTGCTATTTCTGTACCAGACGCTGACTTTTGACGCTGCTTCCCATCACCGTTGTGTTTATATTTGGTAAACACGAGACATTTATCTTTCTAGGTTTTCTTGTCACGCACACCACGCAAATAACGGTATGATTGATTGTCTCAAGCCAGCCGATCGCACACGGCAAATATTTAGAAGCCTTTATCTAGCACTAGATTTAAAAAGGCTGACAAAAAAGATTTTTTTTTATATGATAAGGGTGACAAACGAGCACACAGTCCACCTGATGGTAAGTGGTTGCTGCGGCCCATAGACATCTACATCTATCCTCGTTTGCGAATCAAAATGCAGATGCGTTGTCACTCGTGAGGACTAAGATGGAATGCCTCATTTCCAGTAAAAAGGGCCTCCGGCCACCTGCACTCACCAAGCGAAACTCAGAGGTAAACCTCTACTTCACGCTGGTATTCTGTGAGTTCGTGGTACCACCCCGGTTCGAGCCGGCCCATCCGTGCGACAGCAAAAGCTGCCGCGTGGCTCTACCACTGTTAGAACAACAAAGTAACAAAATTTTGACCTGTTTCAGCATCAGCATTCATAGCCGCGTTATTACCTGATGACAGATATTTAAAAGAAACAAACAAAAGACGGAGAGAAGAGTAAAGAAGATTAACAATTTACACACTCAACTTAGTTACAATATTCATTCCATTACAGCCTACTAAAGTCCACTGCTGAAAAGAGCCTCCTCCATATATGGCCTCACAGAGGTGATTTTGCCATAATTGCGGCTCTTGGCGGGAGGGTTGGCAACCACAGTTTTTATTACTTGGAGTTGTTGTCAGGAAAATGCTGCTGCCTATATTCTGTTTCAGTTTCCCTAGACATCCTCGGGATGATATAGAGTAGTGGATATTCTCACAACGCCACTACACTACACGCTTATATTATAATTTTAAATTAAAAATAATTGTACAACCGACTTCAATATATCTAAGGATAACTCAAACACAGTTGGTCAGACCTTGATCAAATTTATATGGGACCACATGAGACAGTCGAATTGAGTATATCCCCTCCTTTTTGAAGTCGGTAGAAAATAGTGTGAGTTAATGTTGTATTGTAAATAAAATATTAACTTATTCAAATTTTTGTTTTATTTATTAATGTTAGTTTTAGTCTAATTATAAACATGAAAATATGATGGCTTTCTAAGCAAATGCATTAAATTATTCCTAATACTAAATAGTAGGTTTCTTTTTCTGTTTAGAAATCTACATGGTCCTGCCGCCAAACATCAGAGCATTTAATTTTATATTTCGATTTAAGGAAAACGAGTATATATAGGGTGACAAACGAGCACACAGTCCACCTGATGGTAAGTGGTTGCTGTGGCCTATAGACATTCATCCTCAATTACAAGTCAAAATGCAGATGCGTTGTCACCCGTGAGGACTAAGATGGAATGCGTGCGTCTTTTGCAGTAAAAAGGACCTCCGGTTCTCTACACTCACCATACGAAACACAGCAGTGTTAAGCTGCTAATTTACGCTGGTATTCTGTGAGACCGTGGTCCTTCCCCGGTCGAGCCGACCCATTCGTGTTACAACTATACTACTAATATAGCTGCAGCATGGCCCTACCACGTATGATAATTATTTGTACCACTTACTTGATTCAGCTACCCCTGATGCCCCTGGTACACCTGAGATGAAAGCTGCCAAATTATTTACGCAAGTAGAATCCCGCATTACGCATTTAAATATTTCCCAAGGAACCAAAGTCATGCCGACGGAGACAGGCGTCGTCTCTTAATATTCTATAAGGAAGAGCTGACATCGTTCAAAGAACCGTGACGGGACAACCTACCAGCACTTTTATTACATAAAACTTTCAAAATGAAATTCCGTGAAGCCTAAACTCGTCGACGCTGCTACCACAAGGGCACTAATGAAATAAACAAAAGCCAATTCTAGTCGGATTCCTACGACTAACATGCACCGTAAACTTATCCTCTCAAGTAATGTGCCGAGATAACTTGATAATTAAACGTATAACCAGTGACTAGATTCTGTGTTCGAAACAGCTTAAAGGAGGGTCTAATCTTTGTAACTATGGAAGTTATAAAACAGATCTTTCTGCACGCTCAAGTGGAACATTTTCGCCGGGACAAAGCGTTTTCCTAGTAACAGACAGACAGGCAGACGATTCTAAAAGTGATGGAAATATATTAAATTACTTATTTTTCCCTCTCAATCATTTTCATTATAATATGTATATATATATATATATATATATATATATATATAAAATATCCGAACTTTTCTAGACTGGAAACCATCGGAGTAACTACGTATACGTAAATCTAGGCACAAGAAGACAATACTTTATTATCGTAAAGCAATATGGGGTTTAGGATATACAAATTATCAACGTGGTTTCAAAACTGATCAAATTTTGTGTTTAAAACAAATTTAATGCCATCTAAAAACAACGGGGCACCTATCACGATCTACTTATCCACGGTATCTATGACAGCACAGTAGTCTAGACGAAACTAGTTCTAGACGAAACCTACTCGGGGCAAACGGAGCAATAAGACAAAGGCAACCCCTGCCACGCTACCTGTAACTAAACGTTGTCGGTAATTTCTGCAACATCAGGGAACTTCATTCAAACCTTAACGCCGTCCTTAACTATCGAGATCGTGATACTCGGTGATTTTAACGCCCACCATGTTGAATGGCTTGGTTCCCGTTTAACCGATCATGCGGGTAGATCTCTTTATGACTTTGCCTTGGCATATGGTCTGACTCAACAGGTTACTCCGCCTACGCGGATCCCAGATGTGGAGGATTATGTACCTTCATTGTTGGACCTCCCGTCGCGGTTGCGTTATGCGGGTCGTCGCTGTGTTTGGTACTGTAGGTTGGCCGCATAGATTAATGATAAGTCATCGCGCGCTCTGACTAGATACCGCGCTCCCTGCAAGTAAGAGCTCCATGAATACGGCATCTTAATATTGTAGTGTGTATAAGACAATTTGCATGATGTGCAATTTGCTAGTGTGCGTGAAAAATTGTATATGCCAGCAGCTTTACTATTACCCGACTAATGGGAAAATTTATTTTATGCTATGGCTTAGTACTTAAGTTCATAGTTATGAATGTATTCCAGAAATACTTAAAAATGAATAGTTTATTAATAACGAATGTATCAATATATTTGTGTATATTATGTATAGGTTTTTCTTCTGAATAAATGACATATAAGGCCTCCTTTTTATCAGTTTAATTTTTTTATTTACATATCTAACTAATATTTACAAATTATTTAAAAAAGATAGTTATATATATGGTGTAATCAAAATAGTGCTTTCTATTCTACGCGTCAATATGAACAACTTTTACTATAGATCTATCTTCCAAATCGCAAGAAAAATCAGGTCTTCCATACATTTTGAGCAAGTTTGTACGAAATTGTGTATGGTACCACGACCTCACAGAAAACCAGCGTGAAGTAGAGGTTTACCTCTGCGTTTCGCTTGGTGAGTGCAGGTGGCCGAAGACCTTTTTTACTGGAAATGAGGCATAACATCTTAGTCCTCACGGGTGACAACGCATCTACATTTTGATTTGTAATAGAGGATAGATGTAGATGTCTATGGGCCGCAGCAACCACTTACCATCAGGTGGACTGTGTGCTTGTTTGTCACCCTTATCCTATAAAAAAAAAGACAGACGGAACGATAGTGGAGACTTGGGTCCCGTTGATACTCTTTGGGTACGGAACCCTAATAAACGGCAATTGTGTCATTTGAGCAATACTACAGAAATAAACATTAAATAATATAGAATTAGGTTATATTATAATAAGTTAAATATTATTATATTATATTATAAAATATAGTAACAATAAATTCACATATAAAAATCTCAGCCACGGGGAACTTTATTTTTGCATTCGCGGCAACACTGAATAGCGTCATTGATATTTTGTGACTTATTTATGACTCGTGTTATTTTATGTTAAAATTTTGAAATTGTATGATACTTAATGATAGTATGTGATTCCAGTGTCTTTCTTATTTCTTGTAGTATTATTTTTACACAGTTTCAATACGTAAACTGTTATTTTACTTCGGATTATGATCAAACTTTAATAAAACATTCGGTACGTTCACCTCACACGTTGCCTGCAACGCGACTGGCTCGGGTACGCCGATTTCGGAGTAGTATTTGTTGCAGCATTTTACATGAGCGCCGGCGGTATCTAGTCAGAGCGCGTGATGACTTATCATTAATCTATGGTTGGCCGATTGAATTTGGGTTTTTGGGTTGGGTTTGATTCTCGCCGGATGATCCCAACGTTGTTGCTGTTTCTGTCGCTGATGTTGAACTTCAGGAAACGGAACTATTTATTCCATCATCTGTGGTGCCAATCGAAGGCACAACTCAGCCATGGTTTGCTCACTACTGTAAAATTGCATCTCGCCATAAGCAGGAATGCTACTGGACCTGGGCTGACGTATCAGCGTCTCCGTATGCAAATACTAGCGCTCTTATAAAGAAATATAATTCCGCCTCCAGGTCTACAAAAGCGTCATGTCCAAGGCAAAGTCAAAGCACATCAGCATAATTGGCGAGAAACTACTTTGACTTCCTTCGGGAACACCTGCATTCTGGTCACTTATCTAGGTTGTTCAAGGGTACTTTTGTCAGCCATTTCAGCCAACTCCTAAACATGGAGAGAGAGACTCACTGGCTCATGCCACAAAGGAGAAAGCCGATCTGCTAGGCTCTCTCTTAGACGTCTATCGTCATCAAGGTACCATTCAAGTTTGGATTTCAAATTTGAAATAATGGGTTGAATACCCAAACTAAGAGAGCCTGGACCTAGGGGATCATTATGCTCAACATTGAAAGCAGAATCGATAATGATTTCTAAACATTAGACAATATGCATAAAAAAACGGTCTCTATGGACTGTAAGAACCACTTATATTAGGTGATGTGTAACTTCATTTATCACTTATGTTTTATAAAAAAAAACTTTCGTTGTGTAACATTTTCAAATAAGAAAGTGTTATCATATTAAAAAAATATAACAGCCTGACTAGATTCAATTAATACTGGCTGTCTCAACTCTCAAAGCTGAACCTGAACCCAGCATTTGTTGCACTGCTATCTGGCGGCAGATTTGGGTAAGAGGGCGGTGCAAGTAGACGGGCATGAACCTGTCTTTTATGCCTAGGAAGGCATAATAAAGCCAACCTCTTTGTAAATACAAGGAAAGATACGATTACAGGATTAAAATAAAACTTACTTAACAAATGGGTATTGTTTTATTGATAATATTGTTACAAAAGTGATTTAATGAAACATTTAACATGTAAGCGAGGCGGCGTAAGACCGCCTTCCTCTTCCCCCCCTTCCCCCCTTCCCCTCGTTTCCTTACACCGCAGCATTTGCAGTAAATGCTGGGACCACAGTAACGGGAAACGTCAATGCCCATAAACACAACAATTATTGCTTTAATTTTTACGCGACAAAATGAGTGGCTACACGGTCAACGTCATTTAAATTTCAATGCCGTTGAATGGCGTTAATGTTGCTTGAATTTTAAGCAAGATTGACGTTGACGCCGCTACTCTATATTTAATGAGTATTCATTTTTATTATATGTATATATTCTATCATCCCAAAAACACGGCTCTGTTTGCAGAATCTCAAGAAATGTAATAACTTTTTTATTATTCCACTCCATCGTAGCCATACGTGTGATGTGACCCCATTACTCTCACCGTGCACAATGAGACAAACGTAGTGTGGCTGTGGCCGCTTCAACGCGTTATTTCGTGCGTTAATCTTTTTGATGCACCGCCACTCGAGCTATCGCCAAACGGCAAACGGCATTGTTAATGACGTTGTCAAATTAACGCGTTAAATCGTGGCCACACCTACACTCAACGTCTACCAACGCGATAATTAACGGTTTTTCTCGTTAATGTGGCCCCAGCATAAGAGGCAACAGAGGAAAATAAAACAGAAGATGATCAGCACCATCTTCCTAATGATAACTCAAAGTAATAACAGAACTGCAGTTGCCAACCCGCCTCCTAAGCGTGTACAACTGTAGCAAATATGTGGGGCTATTAGACAGTCTATGTGGGAAGCCTATGCCCACTGCCCACGTCTATACACACTACGATTATGATGAAACATTATTGTAGTGTAACAACATAAATAAATACATTTTACGCTATTTACAAATTATAATAATCTTTATAAACAAATAAAAACAGTAGTAGAGTACGTTGCGTCATCCGGTAAATATGGTCACTTTACTATAACTCAAAAATTACAGACTTGTTTGCATAGATGGCTCTGTGATGCGATAAGTCTCTCTTCAGTCAATGAAATAATAAAAGGTTCAAAATGGCACTGCTTTATCGAAGCCATTTTGATAGTTGACTGTGTAGTAAATATGGTCATTATTAACTGTTAAGCTTTTTTAAGCTGATTTTTTTAAGTGTTCTTAATCATTACCAAAGTTTGTTTGCTATTTCTTCCTTAATATATTAGTTATAGTATACGACTTTGTGTTTTTGTCTCTGATCTCATCGTGGTTTAGGTTTTATAGGGCGGCAAAATTTACGGTGACCATATTATCCTCCCGTACTACTTTAATAGATAATGAATAGCCTACAATTTGGCACTGATCTTACAATCAAAAAAAAAATTTTTCTATTTTTAACAATCTATAAAATTTACTAATATTACATAATAGGCTTTATAATATATATCTAGCCAAGTTGATTTGTTTTAAAGTTAATAAAACTTACATATAAAATACACATATCTATGTTACACTAAGTATGTGATCAAATTTAAATTCGTTTTACTTTAAAACATTCTAAAGCTAAGACTAACCTATAAATTACTTTTTATCGAGTACAGGTAAAGTTCAGTGATTTCAGGTACATATAAATGAGTAATTTATATAAAGCACCAGACTTTTCAATTATGCTGCGGCAAAATCTCTACGAAATCTATAAAATTCGACCACCAACATGTTAACTAAATCGACTTGTTTTTTTTTACTTTATGGTGACGAGGTTTTTTTTTCTTTAAGGCACTTTACCTTTTTAATTTTTTACCACAATATTATGTTAATTTATTCAGAAAAAAATAAACACGAATTTTAATAATTGTCTGGATAAAAAAAAATTACATAAAAATAAACATGACACTACATCGCTATTTAAATGCATACTTTGCAGACATTCCATAGTGAAACCTTGTACAAAGCATATCAAATGAAGGCTTATTATTTATTAGGTAACGTTGAGAACATATTTTATGAAATTGTTTTTATTTTTATCTTATGTAAAAAAATAAAATTACAGTTCGACGAACACGCACACACCGGCCAGTGCTCGCCGAGACATTCGGTGGTTGGACTTACTTTGTTTTTTCTGTAATTCTTAGAGCTCTTTTCTCGATAAAAGCGGTAGTAACGTAACATTTTAATACTTACAACTGTTGTACACCATGAGTTTAACGTACGAAGCTACGTCGTTGTCATAATAAAACATCAGTGACATAGTCAACCTCGCTTCAGTGCTAATAGTACACGTGTTTTATACTGCTTCATCTTCCAACTCAGTATATGCCTATTACCATCACTACCAATGCCGGATCACTACTTGATGCTTATAGATGGGCTCCATAGGAGAAATTATTAGTTCATCGTCGGTTCTAAATGCACTAGCAACGACATCTCATTAGTCTAGTCATTTATAAGTCTAGTCATTTTAATTACGCGCGGATTTTTAACTAAATGTGAGAGACAGAATATTTTTCAGTGCTATTTTTAGCGTCACTAAGACGTGATGCCCTACGCAATTTTGCTTTAAACCCGGCAATGGCCACAACACAACATTTTAGATCCATATTTTTGTAGCTACGAATTCTTGGTTTCAAAATGTCCATTTCTAATTATTGAACAAGCACCTATGCCTTACGAATAGCATATAAATATGGCAGTTTTAACTTTTCACGTAACATAAAATTCCATAAGTTTATCATGCTTATTCATTCAACAAGCTTCTTATCTCTTGGCAGGAACCAGGAGAATGCTACTGCACCTGTGGGTAGATTGTTATTTTAGTAATATTTTTGTAAACACAAAAATGATTTGATTTATGAATAATTTACTGTTGCTTTTCGCGGAGAAATGTAAATTTCGCCAACACGCATTGGGGCAGCGCGGCGGACACTTCCTTGCACTTAACCCCCTCAGAAATGAAAGGAGGCCTGTGCCTAGCAGTGGGACGTAAATAGGCTGTAACTTTAACATTCGCTTATCTTTTTTCCGTTACTTTACTACGCTGAATTATTACTACTATTACTTAAACACTAATAATTCTTTACTGATTATCCTGTCGGCTGTGTCATGTTATTTTTATTTTAAATCTATTAAGACATTACACTGATAAAACGTTATAATTACATACATTTCAAATACTTAAATGAAGTAAGTGTAGTGGCGATGTAAGAATAACCAATATCCCATATTGTCCTGCGGCTAACGTTAGAGGCGACATATGGGAATTAAAATAAATGAAATAGAAATTATTTTAATTTAATATTCTGTTTGATGAGATTGATGTCGTAATATATGTAAGAAAACTGTAAACTTAAGGCGATTCGCAGACACTTCACCTTGCTCCGCCCCTCCCCGTCTCCAGCGGACGCAGTTTCATACAAAATGTATAGCAGGCGGATTTTTGCGCTACGATGAGGCCTGACTGACCCCGCCCAGTAGACTGGTTACAGTATAGACAGTCAAAATCCATGTACCGACTAAATTTGACTATGACCGACAAACGGTTGCACCTAGTAATATTAAATACACACAGAGAGTTTTGGCGGGAACTTGACCGCCGGCGGATTGCTGGTCCTATTTGATCGTTTTAATAATGGCTGCAAGAGGGTTTTGATACGAAAAAGTGATGCGTTTTTATGTATTAAATGTCAGCGCATGTGAACATGTGTGCTCATGTGGTGATGGGAGCCCCAAAGATTGTGTCGCCTTTGTCTCCTTTAAAGACACTATCATCATCGACGGTCTTCTGGCTCAAGCTCCTGTCAAAATCTCAAAAAAACTTTACAACATGGCGCTTCAACAAATTATGAATAAATTTTGAAAGATAATATTATAAAGGATATTTTTTATTACTTGGCACTGGCAAAAATACAACCGTACGAGTACATTACCAAAATGAAGAAAAAACAAAAACAAAAACACTCGCACTAGTCTATGGTCTTACATGTAAGCAATGGCGGGTGTTTTGTATTTGATGTGTTAGATTTGGGGTATAATTCTTAATTTTTTATTCAATATAAATCACATGTGTAATTCTTACTGAAACAGCAAGAATCTCAGACGGACTTTTTTTTTAAATAAATTTTACTTAAATGGTTATATACTATTATAGTTATAATAAGCACAAAACTCAAGAGTCAATGCGAATTCTACAGAGTAGGTATACTTGCATACTAACTTAGTAATAGAACGGACCATCCGTAGAATGTGGCCTCGCAATTAGCTGAAATTAAAGCTCCAATAGCGTTGACTCCCAAGAACGCGCTCGACCTCCCCAACATTACCGACAGGCATGAAGCCATACCTCTGTAAATAAAAAAATCACCGAAAATAATTATAAAAAATGAATCTCCATATAAAGGCGGGGTAAAAGATGCCAATGCCTCATATCATTCCGTGGGTTTCGTAAGAGACGTCACAGGGAAATGAAACTGGAAATGGGCAGTAGTATTTTCTTGATAAGATATTTAATTATTGAACACAAAATAATTTTTACGTGGTAGAGCCGCACTGCAGCTATTTTAGTTGTAGCACAAATGGGTCAGCTCGGTCAGGGTAGGACCACGCTCTCTCAGAATACCAGCGTAAAATAACACCTTAAGGCTGCTGTGTTTCGTATGATGAGTGTACAGAACCGTAGATCCTTTTCACTGGAAACGAGGCATTCCATCTTAGTCCTCAGGGGTGACAACGCATAATATGCATTTTGATTCTTAATCTAGAATAAATGTAGATATCTGACCACAGTATCCACACACCATGAGGTGGACTGTGTGCGCATTTGTCATCCGTATTTTATTTAAAAAAATGCAAAACTGCGATTGCTAACCCTTTATGCGGCAATCTTGAAAGGGATTTAATTATAGATTATTTTTATTTTGACATAAATAATATTACACTTTGTTTCATTGAATACATATGCTCCCATAAAATTGTACTAATGATTTATCTAACTTAAAGTTGGGCAAATTATAAGAGTAGAGCAGAGTAGAGTAGGTAGAGTAAGAGTAAAGGAACAAGAATAAAGTATGCTTAACATAATTGAAGTAATATATGCTACTAGCAGTAAGGAGTCAGGAAGTTAGCGGTGTTTCACCACCGTGCTTCGGAAAGCACGCAAATCCGCTGCTCTTGTTCTTGACCTTTGTCCGGTCGTGTGGAACTGCCGTCCCATCGTAGGTACTTTGAGAGTGAGGTCTCGTGTATAATGTTATACTAGTTTCCATTGAGACTGGCTGGCGGTACCGAAATTCCGTCTGGACAATGTTACTACTACGTTTAACAATAAGTTGCACAAACGTTAAATAAGGAATAGTTATTTATAGGTGCTTAGCTAATAGTGATGAGCTACTGGTTATAGGATAAGATCAAGTCATCGAGTAGGAGTAGAATTGCTACATCCAAGAGCGCGTACAAAGTAACCGATTGGCTATCAGTTTTCAGTGATTGGCGCAATAAGACGAAACAAAATCATGTCTTACCTTAAATGTGTTGGGTAGAGTTCGACGAAGTAAACGCTTAAGATGCCCATAGTGAGCGCGCACATGAGGAAAAAGAAGAAGAAGATTCCACCGGCGATGGGGATCCTGACCAAGTTCAGCAACACGGCTGCAATGGCGGACATCGCGAGGATGCCCATCATTGCAAACCTCTTCCTCGCCCCGCACGTGAGCGAGAGGATGAGGTTAGAACCGCTTGCCATTGCACCGTATATTATTGCTGAGAGTAAAGTCGTCTCTTGTATGGTGTCGTTGCATGCCTCTGGGATTGTCTGTAATTAATTTATTGAAATAAAAGTTGGTACGGCTTATAACTGCAAATTCATACTGGCCGAAATAAAATTGTACGCTATAGAAAATACGTTTGCGTGCATACTTAGATATGTACTTAATATTTTTAATATCGTTATTAACACTAACTCAAAACTATCCTAATATAGGTGTTACGGACGGCGAGGGGAGTCGCCCCTTCATACTCCGTTATGCCCCACACACCTCGCACATCGCCCGAACAGCACGTGATGCCGCCGACCAATCAGCGTGCGGCATACCTCTTAAGAACACGCTCGTGCCGAGACACCCGCTACGGGAATATAAGAAGGGCGTTTTGGGCTCCCAATTCATTCGCCATTCGCCTTCGCATTCAATTCGACAGCGGCACTCAAGAAAGAAGAACAAGACTCCATAGAAGACTCCATAGAAGACTCGTTATTGCCGCTTTGTAAATAGTGTAATATATAGTTCAATTCAATTCAACTTCAAGAGTACCATCTTTTCTTCCTTAAACGTCCCTAGTATAATTCAACCTAACACACAACAAGTGTTACAGCCCACAGCTGCCCCTGCAAAGATCAAATATCCCGGGGCCCATGAGCAGAAGATTCAACGGGCAGCCGCGGGTTCGAGCCCAAATGGTCATTTGGAAAAATGTCCTATCATACTAAATTATAGGGAGAAGGCTAGAAAAATATAGTACGTACCTGTATCCGAATCTAAGACCGCCCCAAGGCTCGGTCAGGCCGTAGGTGGGTGTAAGGTGCATGGAAAGTAGTGTTTAGTGATGTGTATGTGTGCGTGACCTGGCCCAGCTGAGGTGACCGGCTGCGGTCGATGTCCAGGCTGCCCCAGAATGCTGCATCACTCCAGCAGGCTTTCCCGCTGGACCATTTCTTTCTTCATGTCACTATTTCAGTCTATCAACCTTTATTGTACAGTTAACTAACATCAACTCAACTAATACAACGTTCATCGGAGAATCGAACACGTGATAACCGACTCAAGTAACTCACAGTAGTTCAATGTTCAACATTCACTATTGCGGATTCATTTATCACCAAATTACAAATCGGGAACTAACGCGATCTCTTCACGAGTCACAAAGTTCAGCGTTACAACCTACAACTAAATTTCTTCGTTCGATATCAAATACTACGCCGCGATAAAAATTCAAAATCCGCCTCGTTGACACGTAAACTAACAAAACAGTCAACACACAAAAAAGGGCACTTAACGCGACGGCACAATTACAATGATTTCCAAAACAATAAACCGGGAAACGCCCTTAAAAAGGAATGCACTGTTCAAATTCTAACCGTATCTCTAATCGGCGCGCACGCAAATTCCACGTCACACAAGCAAGTTAAATATTGCATATTACATTTCAACACGCAATCACTAGATAATTGGTATAATTACTTTCAAACGAAATTACTTTATTCAATAAAACACAATACAAGCCTCCTGTCGTGAACTTATAACTTAGACAACCAAACCAAGGCGGTTTTCACGAAATCAGAATCAGGTAGCGAAGTACGCGCACAAATTCCAAAATTCTAGACCATAATCCAAAAAAACCGGTCTCGCGAAACCTCAGCAGCGGACACCGAAAGACACCAATTAACTGCTCCGCCGCCGTCGAGCACCTCACCTCGACACCATCGGGTGATTCGACAAAGTCGAAGGTGATTGGGTGCCGTCTCAAAATGCCCATTTTTGGGCATAAACAATAAGTAAATAACATATAGTCACATACAGTCCACTGCAGTCCCTTACAGTAGGTCTCTCCAAAAAAAAACGGCGTTTGCCAACCCACTCGCCAAGCTTGGCAACTATGGCAAACATCCACATGATATGAAAGTTACAAAGAGACGGCTCCCAGTCTCCGGCGGCCCCGCTATTCCTGGCTACGGTGGCGACCATGGTAATGGAAAGGCAGGGGTGCTAAGAATCTCCGGTTGAAGTTCCGGACGGACGTCAGTCTGAACGAGATTAGAATGGCTCTCCAGTAACTTAAAAACGGCAGGGCTGCAGGCGAAGATAGAATTACAACTGAGCTTCTAAAAGCGGGTGGAAAGCTGGTACTTGAAGTTCTTCTGAAGCTCTATAATTCCATCCTCCATGGTGGCACTACACCGAAGGCGTGGAGCAGAAGTGCGGTTGTCTTGTTCTTCAAGAATGTCGACAACGCTCCCTTGAAGAACTACAGACCAATTTACCTTCTGAGCCGCGACTACGTGCTGTTTTTGAGAGTCATTACGAATCGTCTCGCATGCAGACTCGTCGACTTCCAGCCTCCCGAACAACCTGGTCTCCGAAGAGACTTTGGTACCATAGACCACATACACACCCTTCGGCAAATCGTACAGAAGACAGAAGAGTACATTCTGCCACTTGCGTGTGTGAACTATGAGAAAGCCTTTGATTCCGTCGAAATTTGGGCAGTACTGCAGTCCCTTCAGCGGTGCCAAGTTGACTGTTGGTATATCGAAGTGCTGAAGTGTTTGTACAACAGTGGTAGAGACACGCGGCAGCTTTTGCTGTCGCACGGATGGGCCGGTTCGAACCGGGGTAGTACCACGACCTCACAGAAAACCAGCGTGAAGTAGAGGTTTACCTCTGCGTTTCGCTTGGTGAGTGCAGGTAGCCGGAGGCACTTTTTACTGGAAATGAGGCATCCCATCTTAGTCCTCACGGGTGACAACGCATCTACATTTTGATTTGTAATAGAGGATAGATGTAGATGTCTATGGGCCGCAGCAACCACTTACCATCATATCGTATATCACTTTACATCATATCGTATATCATTTTAAAAATTAAGGCGAAAAGATAAATTTTACTTTCCAAAATGGCGCCCTCTGTTGCCCGGACCATAGCTCCCTTGCTGCGCCAAAACTTTTAAAGAAAGTGGCCCATGTCAAACGCATACTTGACGGGCTAGTAAATAATATAATGATTTCTTATATTTAGACATAACGTGACGGCGACGAGGTTCGCCACCCGTCACGTTCTGTCCCCCGGAGGGGCGAAAAGTGGATTGCGGAAGCCCGTCTGACTACATTGAATGTATGTGGAGGAATGAATGATAAGATGGATGAAGTATGCGATATGATGTATGATAGAGGAATAGACGTGTTATGTGTAAATGAGACGAAATGGAAGGGAAAGGATGCCACTACACATGGCATGTATACCGCGTACTAGTCTGGTGTAGACGAGACCAAGCGGGCATGCCAGGGAGTCGGTATTATCCTTTCAGAAAGAATGGGTCATTGTGTGAAAGAGTATGAATGTGTAAGCCCGAGACTACTATGGATACGAATGAAAGTGGGCTTAAAGAAGTTGTTTGTTTTAGGGGTCTACGCCCCAGACATGTCTAAGCCCACTTATATCCGAGAGCAGTTTTGGGAGTTGGTAAGGATGGTGCTAATGAAATGCAAGGTTAATGAAAATATTGTGATATTAGGCGATTTTAATGGAAGGGTTGGGGTGAGGAGGCTTGGTTATGAAAGGATATTGGGAACGTTTGGTGATGAAAGTATAAATGAGAATGGTGAAAGCCTTCTCGCCGTATGTGTGGAAAAGAATCTTGTTGTGACGAACACTTTCTTTCATCATAAGAAGATTCACACGTATACATGGGAAAGAGGTGATGATAGAAGTATGATAGATTTCATAATTGTTGATGAAAGAATAAAAAGCGCGGTGGTAGATACAAGGGTTTACCGGGGCTCTAACGTAGGGACGGATTATTACTTGGTCTTATGCCGAATTAATGGTCTTTTCAGACGTTGGAGGCATCGGACATCTGTGTCTACCACTGCGTTACAGCGTATAAGAACAGAGAGGTTACAAGATGAAGGTGTCAAAGAGAAGTTCAAATGTAGATTGAGAGAAAATATAAGTGGTATGGCTGAATTGTGTATGAATGATTTAGACTTGGAGACTGTGTGGTATAATGTCAAGAAAGGTTTAGTGGATGCAGCTACCGAAGTATGTGGTGTAAGTAAGAGAACGATTGAAAGGAAAAATAACACGTTATGGTGGGATGATGAGGTACGGATGGAAGTTGAAGCAAAGAAGAAAGCATGGCTAGATTTACTAGCAACCAAGGCTAGTAATTCTAGCAGTATGAATGATGATATTGAAAGAAAATAGGCAGTTTTTAGACACCTAAATAAGAGAGTAAAAGAAGTAGTTGAAAGGAAAAAGCAAGAAAGAACGGATAAGAATGGTAGAAGAATATCGGATAACTTCCAGGCAAACATTAAAATGTTCTGGAAACTCGTAAGAGCTACTAGGGGACATTCTCAACAGCCTAGAATGAATGCTATACGAGACCAGAATGGCTGTATTCTGAATGACGAAGTTTTGAGTTTAAGGAGATGGAAGGAATACTTTGAAAGGGTGTTTATGAGTGATGAGACGTTTGAATTAAATGAAATAGAAATTCCGAAAGAAGAGTTAATAGATAGAGATATAAGTATAGATGAAATAATGAAAGCAATGAAAAGTATGAAGGGGTAAGGCAGCCGGTTATGATAGAGTATCTCTCGAAATGCTAAGGGCTGGAGAAGGAGTGGTGGCAGACCTGCTGTACACCTTGTTTAATTTATGTTGGGAACTTAAGCGGGTACCGGGAGACTGGTGCAAAGCCGTGATAGTCCCAATATATAAGGGAAAAGGATCACAGCAGGACTGTAAAAACTACCGTGGTATCAGCCTTCTTAGCATTGTGGGAAAACTGTATGCTAAGGTACTAATTGAAAGAGTTATGAAAGAAACTGATGGAAAAATTTGGGATGTGCAAGCGGGATTTAGAAAGGGAATGGGATGTACGGATCAGGTCTTTTCCATGCGCATGATCGCGGAGAAGTTTTTGGCCAAAAACCAAAAGGTTTTTTGTGCGTTCATAGACTTGGAGAAGGCTTATGACAGAGTGGACAGGGATGTGTTATGGCAAACACTGAACTCATTTGGGTTGACCGCTGGTCTGATACAGGCATTGAAGTCTCTATATAGGGACTCTAGTGCTTGTGTCAGGATCAACGGGGCCTACTCGGACTGGTTTGGCATCCATAAAGGTGTCAGACAGGGCTGTGTGGCTTCCCCGTGGTTGTTCAACCTATTTATGGACAGTTGTTTGGAAAATTTGAAAGTAGAAGAATGCGGGTTAAGAATGGGTTAGTTTACCGTCAAATGCCTTTTTTACGCCGATGATCAAGTCATACTTGCATCGTCGGCAGCCGAGTTGCAAATGATGGTTACATTAATGAACAGGACATTAAAAGAAAAGGGAATGAAAGTGAACGCAAGTAAGACGAAAGTTATGGTTTTTGAAAGAGAAGAAAGTAAAACGATATATGAAATAAGAATAGAAGGGGAGTTGGTAGAGCAAGTAGATGAATTCGTATATTTGGGATGTGTGTTTAGCAGGGATGGTAGATATGATAAGGATATAGAACGACGAGTGAATGCAGGAAATAGAGTGAATGAGGCTCTACACTCTATTGTGAAAAGTCAGAATGTGTCCAAAAAGGCACGTATGGCAATTCACAATGCTGTGTTAGTACCTACTTTAATGTATGGTAGTGAAAGTTGGGTGTGGCAGAAGAAGCATGAGAGTAGAATAAATGCTGTAGAAATGCGGTCATTAAGGAGTATGTTAGGGATGAAGCTGAACGACAGAGTGAGAAATTGTTTAATAAGAGAAGAGTGTGGTTTGCAAGATGATGTTGTGACCTGGATTAAGAAAGGAATGCTTCGGTGGTTTGGCCATGTAGAAAGAATGAATGAGGAAAGAGTGATAAAGCAAATTTATGTTGCAGAGGTGAACGGCATAGTCGGGAAGGGTCGCCCTAGGCGAAAGTTTATTGACCAAATTGGCGATGTATTAAAAATGGGCCAAATCAAGAGTACCTTTAACCGACGAGCGTGTATGCGTAGGTATATGGATGTGGAGGAAGCGAGAGAGGTGTGTCAGGATCGTGCCAAATGGAAGTCCATAATCTCTGCCTACCCCTCTGGGTGACAGGCGTGAGTGTTTATGTTATGTATGTTATATTCTTATATTAATGTGAAGACTACACATTAAATGAAACAATTTTTTTGGGATTTTATCGCGTTTAGTTTTACTTTTTAATTCCCGACGTTTCGGGTGTTTTACATCACCTGTGGTCACGTGGAAACTGAGGTTAATTGATTGAGAGGCCTTAATATTAAATATTTAAAAAAAAAGGAAAAAATTAATCCATAGGTAACACGCCTTGTTGGATTATCTGTATTTTTATATATGAAAGAAAGGTTGTCGAGTGATCGCCTTGCTCCGGTCCGCTTCAGCCCTGGGCAGAAGCAGAGGGCAGCCCCTCCCTAGATGTGGTAAGATACAGAAAGGCAACAGATGCTTTGTGGTAGTCCTAAAGTGAGGCCTATGTTCAGCTGTGGACTTGTGGTTGGCTAAGATGGTGACGCTTTATTTGAGGTTTAAATTATTCAGTAACTCACAGTGTCGTTCCCCGTAGCTCCGAGGCTGGTGGAGAAGCGTATGACGGTGCAGAGGTTCATACCGTCGCCACCCCCCGCCTCCAGCACCGAGAATAGGTTGTTCATGATGTACGGCAGCCACAGGATGAAGCCGCTCCCTCTGTTGACAAATAAAATCCAATTAATATAACAAAGTCAAAGCTAGATGTAGGCGGACAAAAAAATTGTAATTGTACTTAACCTTGTTTCTGCTTCACATAATTTTTGATGCTTATTTAGTGAGAAGGTTCGTTTGCAACTATAATTGATTTAAACTTTTTTTGTTAACACATTTCCTTATCAAATATTGTTACTGTATAATTATTTTAAAAATTCGTTTGTATATATATCGTGACATATAATATCACGCTCAATGTCACGCTGTTATTATCCTAAATAAATAAAATAAAATAAATAAAGAACTGCCGTTATCGGTTACCAAAAGGATGGAATCCACACGTTAAAAACACCAAATTAAACTTCACAGTCCAATAGTCATAGTTTGCTTTGAATTATCAAGCACAGGAATATTCGGGCCCTATTTTTTGAAAATTTCCAAGGGCTAGCAATTACTGTGGACGATGTTGCTTATCATTGTATACGTGGTGAAGTCACGCTGCAGCTATATTATGGTTGCAGCACGAATGGCACGAATCTGCCCGACCGGGGTAGGACCACGTTCTTACAGAAGACTAGCTCAAAACAACATGCTGTTGTGTTTCGTATGGTGAGTAACGGAAACCGTATATCCTTTTTACTGTTAACAGATAACAAGGCATGCTATCATCTAGTGATAATGCATCTGCATTGTGATACTTATTGAAAGACAGATACGAGTATGTGTCTATGGGCCACAGCATTCATCTACCATCAGATGGGCTACATGCCGTTTGTCACTGAATTTTCAAACTGATTTTACAAAGGCCAACCTCATATATGCCTTATTTAAAAAAAAATCTAACTACAAGCTGGGATGCATTTTATCTTAGTCCCAGAGTAGTTAGGTTACTTTCTTAAAGTTGTCTACAGGTTGGACCCCTGTAGACAACTTTTCAGAGTAACCCACGTAGTCCAACGGATTAGTCAGCTGAAGTGCTAATGGGAAGAACCGACAATTGTTGGGGAGTTCTCGAGTGGCTACCTCGTACCGGTAAGCGAAGTGTATGTCCCCCCCCCCACTAGATGGACTGATAACCTGGTAAGATATGCAGGAAGTTTAGGGTCGTGCTTTGTGGCTTTGTGGCCTCCCCAGTATGTAGTGTACTGCTGACTAGACTTGTGAAGGACTGTAACGATTATAATGATGACGGCAAGTATCCATGGGCTTCAGTGGCCATTTACCATCAGGTGGTCGCTTCAGTTTATAAAATACGCCACCACAAAGGAACATACGATGTGTACAATTGGCGATACTTACGTCATATAAATAACAGTGACGAGGTAGAAAAGCCTTAGAGTTTCCTTTAGCATGGGCGGCCGGAAGAGTGCCACCGTTTGTTCCCATAACGCCTTCAGGAACGAGTCTTCTCCCACCGTTGAATTTTCATCGTCATCTAACAGCAACTTCGTAATCTTTCAAAGAAAACATTCTTCAAATTTTAGGTTCTTTCTAGAATCTCATATGACATTGTACCACGATTTTAATTATCAAATATTATTTGTCAAGTAAGCAAGCAAACCCAAGACTCTCAATCAAAGATTACTAAATATAATCAATACACCGCGTTTTATGACAGTGAGGGCATTCACGACTTTTTCTGTCACCAGGGTGGCGCCACTAGAAAGTGAGGTATAATATTTGACAGATTTCATAGCGGGGAAGTTAATTTGTTCGAAAAATGTAAAAGTTATTGTTTATTTTTGTACTATTGGCTATATTTTATATTAATAAGATTAAAAATAAATAAACCAAACCACAGATATTCATAAAAGGATAAAAATTAAAAAAAAGTCACAAATGTGCATAAAAATTAGAGAGCAAACCACTGACGCATTGTTTTGTGTATTAATTTAATACACTATAAATTGATAAACATTTATTAAAAACGAACTTCTCAATTAAATTACACTGTGTAACAAAAAAAACTTTACCTCAGTGTCTACTAACACTTGTGAACAGAAAATTATTAGCCCTCGTTGCGATCATGTGTTTGGAATATTTGAATAATAAAAGAGAAAATGAGAACTATTACTTTCTTCGCCTTGTTATATGTGTTTCAGAAGAGCACATTTTTGCCTCAAATATATCAAGTTCTAGGTGGTAGATGTCCTATACTGCCTAGGGGCCCGTATGGGTATGTACCACTCTCTCACCCTTCTCCGCTAAAAACAGTAGGCACTTGCATTGCTGTGGGTATAGGGTATAGAGAGCCAACGTAATTACAGGCTGTGCTGATATATATGTACCCTTCTTTGCTTGAAATTGGTTGCAGTAACCACTTACTATCAAATAAAACAAAACAATTCAATTTTTAATGTGAATGAATGGCACGAGTAACTGATGTGACCCTTTATTATCAAAATGTATTTTTTCATTAGTCCTCATATATATGGAAAAATACCCTTTCAATTGGAGCGTAATTTTCTGATTTGTAATATATATGTTAACCAATGAAAACTTGTCAAATAATTGTAAAACGTGACTGCTTTAAGAAATCCTATTTATATTAACAAATCCATCACAATTAGAATTTGCTTCCATGTGGGGATCTTGGTCAGGTTTGCACATTTGAGCACTTCTAATTCTAGGTTGAACTGACACCATTGCTACAAGTGTTCTGTATTTGTATTTAAAAACAATTGTCTTTATATTCTCCTTACTGACAACAACAAAGAAACACTTTGGGAACATTTGTGTAACTTTAAGAAAAATATAAATTTACTTGTTTATATGTTTTATACGCAAGGCTGCAGCTTTATTATGGTTGAAATACGAATAGGTTCGCTCGACCGGGGTAGAACCATACGCTCACAAAATACCAGCGTAAAATAGCAGCTTAATGCTGCTGTGTTTCGTATGGTGAGTGTAGAGAACTGGAGATCTGGAAACGAGGCATTCCATCTTAGTCAAGAAAAACGCAATGCGTTGGTTTGACAACGCATCTGCATTTTGATTCTTAATTGAGGATAAGTAAAGATGTTTATAGGCAACAGCTACCACTTACCATCAGGTGGGATGTGTGCTCGTCACCCTTATTCCTCCATAAAACAAAATATCAAAATCATAATTTTGGTCGGTTCGGTCAAACAAATCACCAAAAACCTGTTATTTTTTTTTGGTATTTAATAATTTACTGTAGATCAATTAAAAAAATTGTCACTTCGTAACTTTAGGTTAAGGGTACTCTTAATTTGTCATATCTTCAATATATCACTAACTTGGTCGATATAGTACGTCCTCCAAAGAGCGTCACTTGCTGATTTTGCCACTCACTTCGGTGGCATAAATTTGCTTTGTCACCCTTTCATCCCTCATAATTTCTACGTGAAAACATTTAAAGATACATGTACTCACCGGGAAGCTACTAGATTTGTTTCCAGTATTAGTCGCATATATCTTCTTTAAGACTTCGAGCGCCTCGTCAGTGCGACCCCGAGACACTAAGAACTTGGGACTTTCGTGGAAAAACTGCAGCAAGCAGGCAGTTGCTGCACACGGTAGTGACATCACTAAGGCAAGCAGTCGCCACGGTCGGTACGTAATGCCCAGGAAGTCAATCCAGTAGACAAAGTTCAAGGGAAGGATTGGGTACGCGAATACTGAGGAAGAAGAAAGGATTTTTTAATTTACAATATTATGTGGTCATGGGATGTACCTACATCGGAAATGGCAAGATCTTAATTTTTTTTTACAGATAGAATAGGGGTGATAATCGAACACAGTCCACCTGATGGTAAGTGGTTGCTGAGACCCATAGACATTTACATTTATCCTCGATTAGAAATCAAAATAGGGATATGTTGTCACCCCTGAGGACTAAGATGGAATGCCTTGTCTACGTTTTAACTCTTAATTGAGGATAAACATACTGTCTTTGGATCCACTTACCATCAGGTGGACTGTGTGGTTGTTTGTCAATTTTATTCTATAAAAAAAAAACGCCTAACAGCCAAATTACCACAGAAACCGTCAATTTTCAGTTGAGAAATTAATCTACGATCAAGTAAGACTGTCTAAACCTTTTTTACTTACTCAAAGTTTAAATTTTTTGTTTACTCAAAGTTTAAATAAATAACTTAAAGATCTGTTTAGTGGATGCGTATGAGTATCCACTACCACATGTTATCCCGTGGGTGCCGTTAAAGGCAACAGCATACCACCCTCCAAACGAAGCAACTATTGCTAGCTGGGAATCTATGGGGGAGGGCGGGCTATGTTCAGCAGTGAACTTTGATAGACCGTAATGACGATGACGATGATTAGTTTTTTTCTCCATTTTCAATGTGGATGTCCTCAAGAGTAAAAAGGCTTTTTTATACGTGGTATAGCCATGCTGCAGCTATATTAGTAGTATAGATGTAGCACGAATGGATCGGCTAGACCATGGAAGGACCACGCTCTCATAGAAAACCAGCGCAAAATAGCAGCTTAACACTGCTGTGTTTCGTATGGTGAGTGTAGAGAACCGGAGAATCTTTTTACTGGCAAAGAGGCATTCCATCTTAGTCCTCACGGGTGACAACGCATCTGCATTTTCATCCTTTATTGACGATAGATGTAGATGGCTATATGGGCCACTGCAACCACTTACCATCAGGTGGACTGTATGCTCGTTTGTCACCCCATCCTATAAAAAAAAACATTGTTTGGCTACATCACCACTTACCATCAAGTGGCATAGCCGTTCAGCACTGACTTATGATAATTAAAAAAATATCTCAAGGACACGAGCAATTCGCCAATGCGTTGAGGCATCGCGGCAGACTTTACAGCTTTGTTACCTCAAAACTAAAAGGAGGCTTATGCCAAGTTACGGGACGTATGAAGGCTGATAAATGATAATAATACTTCTTTCTATGATGAAAATGGTTACACTTTAGCAGGAAATGGTTACGCAGTTACATACCAGCAACGACAGCTTGAGAGCACATTAGAGAGCACGTACAGAGCAGCATGGAACGGCCTCGAGCCCGCTCTGGACAACTCTCCCCTAGAAGAGTATACGCTCCTGAGTTACTGGCTGAGGTGCTGCAAATAAGTAGACATTCTTTTAATAATGATACGTAATACTAGATGCCCTTTTAGTGCTAGCGTGGTAGAAACAACTAGAATCAACACATACATAAATCATCGTGTATTTGTTCTAAGAGGCGACAAAGGAAAATGATACAGGAGAGTCATAATCGGTTGTTTATATGAATGACCTCGATTTGCTATCCCTTTTTAAAATCCATTTTATTTTATTTTTCTTTCTTTACTTCTTTTTAGTAGGAGGTTTTCAAGAAATTTGTTTTTTGCTAAGGGATAAGTAGTTAAAAAGTGAGATAAATAATAACTGTATGTGATATAAATATAATGTGTGTCATTTGTAGAATTAATTATTAAAAAAAATAATAAATTCTGCATATTTGCATCCTAATATTCTAGGAACAGATACAATCTAGTAAATAAAAATTACTCGACTTCACGGAGTAAGTGATTCAGTCAGGTGCGATTAGTTTGAACGTGTTAAAGTCACGCCGCCGTTAAGATGTAATGAAATGTCACGCATAAGCTAAAGTTCGATGGGAGAAAAGCCACAATGATGTTAAGGTGGAGGACCGATTGTTATTTGCGATAAATGTAACGCATATGCAATAGGTTCTAAGGTTTTACAGCCACACTGATGTTAAAATGGAGACTAGATCTCTTCTACTTCAGATAAATGTAACGCGTAAGCAATAAGTTCGAACGTGGTAAAGTCACGCTGATATTAACACTTTTGTTGTCCAGTTTTCAGCCACTAACGTAAGACAATAGCAATGACCTATATATAGTACAAGGGACAGCGAAAGGGTTAAGGTGAAGGTTTGAACTCTTCTACTTGAGATAAATGTAACGCGTAAATATTAAGTTCGAACGTGGTAGAGCCACGCGGGTGTTAAGATGATACCTTGAAAATTAATCTGTAGTTTTAAGGGCGTGGCTCAGCCGTTCGTCAATCAAGCTCACGGATGACTAAGGGAGTGTCAAAAAGGAAGTGACGCAATTACTTCTTGTACGCAAATTATGATACAGCTACATACCAAGCACGAGCTCAGAAATAGACGTCGTGAACGTAAACAACATTTTTTTAACGATCCATGAAATTAAATAATGGTTTATACGTAAGTGTACTGATTGTTCTTGCGGAAGTATACGGTAACTGGTTTCGGAGGTGAAGACGAATGCGATTCAGGGGACAATAGAAAATCAGCGTTGGATTTCCAACCTGACATCATGCTGAATTGGTTCCTATCTTTTGGCACTACCCTGAGGCACTAGTTTTAAGTATATATATTTTTTTTCTTCCTAATAATTTTAATTATCTTTGTTTTCTCATTTTTAGCCTGTTCTTTAGTTCTTGAAATTATTTTTTTTGTTTTGACTTCGTTTCGGTGTTCTGGTGCCTTGTGTTTGTGTCAAAATAAAATGTATTTCTTTCTGTTTATGTGAACTTAAATTTGATTATTTACTGTGCTTTAGAAATAATTCCATGAACTAACATGAAATTTAACTAATTCAAGCCTAATTTACAATATTTTTCTAGCGAGAAAATCACATTATCGTGTTTTCATTTAATGCAATTCAATTTCATATAGTCAAAAAACATATACCAAAATTTGGTCCGTAATGTTAACTTAAAGAAATATATAAAATGCTTTAGAGGTATAGGTATCCTGAAGATGGAGGCACGTTTTCTTCTATTTGAGTTAAATGATAGTAACGTTTTTTTTTCAGTGAAAAGGTAATTAAAAATTGTCCGATAACGTTTTATCTCGTCGCTTTCTTGCCACTGATGTGAGTGAACTGAGTCAATGTATTTTATCTGATAATTACTAGTTACATATATTACTGTGTTTACACTACTGTTTGCGGAGAGGTCATACATCATACTTTACCGTACCGTAATTTAAATAACATAAATTTTGTACTTAATAGCCTAGCCTTAGCCTTAGCCTTAGCCTAGCCTTAGCCTTAGCCTTTATTCAACCCTTTTTTAAACCCGGACGCAAAAAGAGGGGTGTTATAAGTTTGACCGCTAATGGTGTCTGTTTGACTGTCTGTGTGTCTGTCTGTGGCACCGTAGCTCTTAAACGGGTGAACCGATTTGGGTGCGGATTTTTTTTATTTGAAAGCAGATTTTTAGCGGTGGTTCTTAGAAGTGTTTTTTTTTTTTCAAAATCAGTTCAGCCGTTTTAAGGTCATCAGCTGTTTTTTTTTCGGGGGTATTTCAAAATTTTCAATTTGAGTTTTAAAACAATTTTATATTATTGCATTTCGTAACAAGAGTTGTACAAAAATCTGAGCATGAGTTTTCTATCGTAACGAATTATCATATCTAGTAACTTTGTATCAAAATATAGTTTAGTAATATTTATGCCTCTGGGGTGCCTGTTCATATTTAAACTGACAAACAAGTTACCAAACCATTTTGTCGTAAAAATAACCCGCGGGTTTCGATTGAAGGCAGTATGAGAAATGCTAATAAAATCCAATGGCTTCCGTTAGATGGCATTTTAACTATATCCATTACGTCAGAGTGCCAAAGGTGCAAGACGTCTGGCACTGCGATGACGAGCCGTTTGCCAAGCGTGATGATTAAAGCAAATCCTGCATAGTCAGGATGTTATAGAATGAGAGTGGACCATGTCCGGTCATGGATCATTATAGAATGAGAGTGGTCCATGTCCGGTCCATGTCCGTGCCGTTTGCCAAGCGTGATGATTAAAGCAAATCCTGCATAGGCAGGATGTTATATAATGAGAGGGGCCCATGTCCCGTCGTGGATCATAATAGAATGAGAGTGGTCCATGTCCGGTTCATATCCGTGCCGTTTGCCAAGCGTGTGATTAAAGCAAATCCTGCATAGGCAGGATGTTATATAATGAAAGTGGCCCATGTCCGGTCATGGATCATTATAGAATGAGAGTGGTCCATGTCCGAGCCGTTTGCCAAGCGTGATGATTAAAGCAAATCCTGCATAGGCAGGATGTTATATAATGAGAGTGGCCCATGTCCGGTCATGGATCATTATAGAATGAGAGTGGTCTATGTCCGGTCCATGTCCGAGCCGTTTGCCAAGCGTGATGATTAAAGCAAATCCTGCATAGGCAGGATGTTATATAATGAGAGTGGCCCATGTCCGGTCAAGGATCATTATAGAACGAGAGTGGTCCATGTCCGGTCCATATCCGAGCCGTTTGCTAAGCGTGATGATTAAAGCAAATCCTGCATAGGCAGGATGTTATATAATGAAAGTGGCCCATGTCCAGTCATGGATCATTATAGAATGAGAGTGGTCCATGTCCGGTCCATGACCGAGCCGTTTGGCAAGCGTGATGATTAAAGCAAATCCTGCATAGGCAGGATGTTATATAATGAGAGGGGCCCATGTCCCGTCGTGGATCATTATAGAATGAGAGTGGTCCATGTCCTGTTCATGTCCGAGCCGTTTGCCAAGCGTGATGATTAAAGCAAATCCTGCATAGGCAGGATGTTATATAATGAGAGTGGCCCATGTCCGGTCATGGATCATTATAGAATGAGAGTGGTCCATGTCCGGACATGGCCTTTAACGGGTCGATAAAAATGAAGAAGAATTTATTGTTCTACAGACGTTGATCTAAACGGATCGGAAGCTGAGTGGCTAAGAGTTTAGCTATGGCGCTACGGACCACGGGACTTGCTCCGGTGGTTTTTGAACATATGCAATTTATAATAATTTATGTACTACACCTAAACTAAGGAACAAGTAGTGTGTGGGTGACGTTTTTACTAGGTTGAAGCGTAAATGTTCGTGGTGCACCAGCGACACTTGCGGAAGCTGACTTTTATATAAAAGCCATGACTTTTACACCTAAACGAAGCACATGAATGCACATGTTAAAAAAATTGCCGTCCGAAGACATGGCCGCTCAAGTCACCATTCTCCCTCCTTGCTACGCCTCAGAACGCCTGACCACCATCAAGCCACCTGCCCAGCGTGGTGAGCATGGGCACATCTTTCGAGTAATGAATGCATGCCAGCTGCCGATTTCTTGAAATAGTCTATATCGAAGGACTTAAACACAATGTACATGAAAAGTGTGGTCTAGTGGTTGTAAATGCGACTGCTGACCAAGAGTCCCAGGTTTGAATCCCGGGTCGAACCAAAATAAATCATTTATTGAGTTCATCTGTCAAGAAATTCTCAGTAGCTGTTCGGAGTCAGGAAGTTGGCGGTGTATCACCCCCGTGCATCGGAAAGCACGTAAAGCCGTTGGTCCTGCACCTGATCTTTCTCTGGTCGGGTCGGTTAACCGTACCATCGGACTATGAGAGTGAGGGAATAGAGAGTGCACCTGTGGTTGTGCACTTGGGCATTATAATCCTGTCCTGCACCGATGACTAGTCTGCATTGAGAAAATTCGATCTGGAGGACACTATTATTATTATGAATAGAGTTATTACTTAATAGACAAATTTGGTCATTATCATTATCAAACCACTGGGTCGTTCTCACGCATAGTTTGTTTTGCAAAAACAAATATTTTATGATAATTAAGTCTTCCATGACGTAAATACTGTCTCAACAAGACGGAGCGCCATTCTTATCTAAGAACACTATGTTGTCTTAGGTTGTACTTATTTTAATAGCCTCATGTTTCTTGTTGCTGGCCGAAGTATGCTAATTTGTAATATACACGTAGATAGAACTGTTACGGCCCTAGCTTCAAGAGTGAATAGGTTTTTGTTAGGCTAAGTGAGTACGTTTACTACGTTCGTTTGCATCCCCACTTACCATCAGGTGGAACTGTAGTCAAACACTTGATTAATATAGTTAAAAATGTTATCTGCAATTTTGATTTCTTGTGTAAAATTGTAGAATGTGTTTTATTATGTTTATATTAATAAAACTTGATTAGTTATTGAAAAGATCTGCGGGGCCAAGATGACATGCTACCAACATGACATGAAACCAACCCAAGAAATCAACCTTGGAAAAAGTGTCGTACTAAACGTTAAGTCATGTGACTTAAACTTCAGATATGTTACTCCCATTCATTATCAAAGTTTTCTATAGCGTTAAAGATCGTAAAAATTTCATATTTTTTATTCTCAAGAGGAAATGACTATACATCCCACTCTTAAGTGCACAGAGACGGTTGTATCGAACCGATAAATACTTCATGGTGTTTCACCCTCGCCGCAAATAGGCACACCACAAGAAAACTTCCAAGGCTGGCAGCAGCATCGGACGTGTGACCCGTCTGGCACTACGATCGCTAGCCCGTTTAACAAGCGTTACGCATTATTTATTTACGCAGTAGGACCACGCTGCAGATATATTATGATTGTAGCGCGAATGGGTCGCCTTGACCGGCGTAGGACCACACTCTCATAGAATACGAGTAGCAGCTCAAGGCCATCCTAGTCCTCGGGGGTGACAACGCATCTGCATTCTGGTTCTTAATCAAGGATGAATGTCTATGGGCCAAGGTATCCATCACTTACCATCACTTACCATCAGGTCGACTGTGTGCTCGTATATTTATACAAAAATATCGCAAAAAAATGCAATTAAGGCAAATCCTTTCTTCCTGTCCAGCAGTGGCCTCTAAAGAAATAATAAGGAAGAAGGAGAAGATGTAAAACAATACTTATTAAAGTTCAAACTTACAATGTGGAGGAAATCAACTTCAACACAGCCATGGTCTTCCAATCTGGAGAAAAACTGCTCAAAGCAGCAAACACAAAGCCAACTGACATAGACAACACGAGAGTCAACCTTCGGCCTTTTGTGTCCGAGATGTAGCCCCACAGCTGGGCACCAGTAACAACACCTAAAAAAGGAAAGAAACAAATATTAGCCATCTCTTCTTTCTCCCTCTATCTTTCATTCGATTATGTTTTAAAAAATCGGCTTGTGCAGCATTTACTCAAAACTTTTTTCTCTCACAAATTCAAGTAGGTCCATTAGTCTTTCTTCATGTCTCGATTATTTATCTATACAAATAAATAAAATTGAAGTGTCTGTTTGTAATGTCTAAATTACAGTTTATACATTTTACTAAATGTATAAACGGTACTTATAACAAAAATACACGTTTTAAAATTTTTGTCTGTCTGTCTCTCCGTTTGTTTCGGCTAATCTCCGAAACGGCTGGACCGATTTTGACGGGACTTTCACTGGCAGATAGCTGATGTCAAGAGGAGTAACTTAAGCTACTTTTATTTAAGAAAATTAAAAACAATTAGGGTTCCTTGCAAAAAATAAAGCCCTAAATTACACGTGGACGAAGTCGCGGGGAACGTACGTAATAAAAAAATAAAAGACTCTTTTATTTATTTATTGCATACTATACTTAGCCTTTGAGCGAGAAAAGAACCAGCCCTGTTATCACCAGCAGCAACGACCAGCCGCGGATGGAGTTCCTTTAGGAACTTCATCGCCCGTGATCCCACGGACCCATAGTCTCTACAGCAAATAGCACAAATATGTAGTCATCTCTCAGAGGCTCATATTTGCGCCACTTACTCAGTTCAGCTGCATCTGATGCCGCTCCAGCTCTAAACTAGGTACCCCTGAGATGAGGGGCCGCCAGAGTGTCTACGCAAGTAGTATCCCACACTAGGGCTTTACCTCTCTCCCAAGGGACCAATGTCATACCGTCGGGTATCCTGCCATTAAACTAATATTCCCTCCAATCTCCTCCAACATCACATTTCGAAGGCCTCTATTTTCTTGATCAATTTCTACGTTTCACCCTTTCCTGCTATACTTCAAATATACTATATATATTTTTATAAATACACTATATATATATATATATATATATATTGATAAATGGTGTTCCTTGAGATATTTTTAGATTGGAGTATATGTTATGAATATGTCTATGAGGTCAAATAAACTACTATTTAAGAATAAATTCTCATAGTCGTTATGTCCCATCAACAACAATTCAACAGTGGTAGAGCCACGCGGCAGCTTTTGCTGTCACACGGATGGGCCGGCTCGAACCGGGGTGGTACCACGACCTCACAGAAAACCAGCGTGAAGTAGAGATTTACCTCTGCGATTCGCTTGTTGAGTGCAGGCGGCCGGAGGCCCTTTTTACTGGAAATGAGGCATTCCATCTTAGTCCTCACGGGTGACAACGCATCAGCATTTTGATTAGTAATAAAGGATGGGTGTAGATGTCTATGGGCCGTAGCAACCATCAGGTGGACTGTGTGCTCGTTTGTCACCCTTATCCTATAAAGAAAAAACAACAATAAAAGAATCTCAAATATCCATATTATAGTGATAGTATTGTGTAGTTTGGCTAACTTGTTGGTCTAGTGATTGTAGGCTGGACTGTTGATCATGAGGGTATCGGGTTCGAATCCCGTCGTCGGCCCAAAATCGGCTATTGAGGTATTCTGTCAAGAAGTTCTCAGTAGCATGCCCGAAATCAGGAAGTTCTCTGTGCTTCACCCTCATGCCTCGGAAAGTACGTATAGCTGTTGGATCTGCACCTGATCTCTCTCCAGTGGTATTTGATTACCGTCCCATCGGACTGTGATAGTGAAGTAATAGAGAGTGCACGAGTGTGAGTGAGTTTTTACGTGGTAGAGCCTTGCTGCAGCTACAACAGTAGTATAGTTGTAGCACGAATGGGTCGGCTCGACCGGGGAAGGACCACGCTCTCATAGAATACCAGCGTAAAATAGCAGCTTAACGCTACTGTGTTTCGTATAGTGAGTGTAGAGAACCAGATACCCTTTTTACTGGAAAAGAGGGATTCCATCTTAGTCCTCACGGGTGACAACGCATCTGTATTTTGATTCGCAAACGAGGATAGATGTTGATGTCTATGGGCCAAAGCAACCACTTACCATCAGGTGGACTGTGTGCTCGTTTGTCACCCTATCCTATATAAAAACCTGTGTTTGTGCACACACTTGTACACTATAATCCTGCCATGCGTAGATAGTGTTCGTTGAGACTGGACGCCGTGACCGATTTTCGGTCTGGAGTACATTAATTATTATCTTGTCGTAAGGTACGTGAGGGTAATATGGTCACCTTAAGCTTTGCCGCACTATAAAATCAAAATTAGGAGGAGGACAGAAACAAAAATACAAAGTCGTGTACTCTAACTAATATATTAGGAAAAAACTAACAAACAATTTTTGGCAATAACTGGGAACACTTCGAAAAATCAACTTAAAGAAAGTAACTGCACTACACAGTACTAAAATCGACTAAAATTTTGACTATAATGTCAACGGTCAAAATGGCGTCGTTAAAGCAGCACCCTTTTGACCATTTATTATTTGATGGACTGATGAAGAGCTATCGTATCATAAAAGCAGTTATTAGAAAGTGACCATGTTAATCTGATGACCATATTACCCTTACGTTCTAAACTTTAAGGTACCTGGAATACATCTTCAGTTCGAAACGTTCTACAGGGATACCATCATATCATTTAAAATGGGGGAAGATCAACTTACCCACAAGAGGCATGGCAATAAGTAAAGCACGTTGCTGCATCGTGAGCTCCAAGTCACAGACAGCAGCAGCCACCACGAAACTGGTGCCAAATAAATCCATACCCATAGCTTGTAGTGTCCAACTGCATATCAGGAGGAGTCCGAAATTGTATTTACCGAATCCTGAAAAAAGAAAATTTATGAAAATATTACTCAACTCTACCTTAAATTTTGTCACCGATGGGGAAAAAAGGTTCTCGAGTGGCGGCCTCGTACCGGCGGACGAAGTAGGGTTTTGTTATAAGTACCAGCGCGACGAAGTGTAGAGCGTGCCCCTACTAGATGGAGTGACGACCTGGTAAGACATGCAGGAAGTTGATGGATGCAGGTGGCTCAGGACCGTGTTTTGTGGCATTCCTTGGGGGGGGGGCTATGTTCAGCAGTGGGCTGGTGAAGGGCTGTGATGATGATGATGATGATGATAAGTACTGTATATACTTTCATATGGATTTAGTAAAAAGCAGTTATTTTGAAATTATAAACAAACACTTCAATTTTATTTATTTGCATAGATTACCACTGGTTCGGAAAAAACCTTTGTCCTGAGAAGAACCAGCAAGAAACCCAGCGAGACTTTTTTCTTAGATAACAGCTTACAATCATGTACGTTACATAATTAATAATACAAAACAAGCCAGAATTAGTCTGGTAGCACCTAATTTCCAGGGGTTATTATCACCCATAAATTCCCCAACATTATAACGACCCTTTCCATACAAACTTAGTTTAATCAAGTTTTCGAACTTTGAGCAGGTCAAATTTTGTATGTTTTCTGGGATTTTGTTGCAGAACTATTGCCTAATGGTGCCTGCACTGCTAACTTTCGATCAGGTATAGAGAACCGCATTATTACAGGCTACGAGGCATTGCCTCTTAATCCTCAGAAATACCAACGCAACTGAAACCTTCTTCGTTTAAAATTGGCTGCAGATGTCCATGGACTGTTAAAGCCGCTTACTATCATGTGAACTGTGAGTTCATTCTCTTAAATTTTATAAATAAACTAGCTGTTCCCCGCGACGGCGCTTGCGCGTAATTTTTTACGATTGGACTTAATGGGTTTTATTTTGTTACCGCGGAACCCTAATTATTTTACTAAAATAAAAGTAGCCTAAATTACTTCGTATAACGTCAGCTATCTGCCAGTGAAAGTCCGGTCAAAGTCCAGCCGTTTCGGAGATTAGCCGGAACAAACAGACAGACAGACGGATAAAAATTTTAAAAATCGTGTTTTTGTTATAAGTACCGTATATACTTTCATATGCATATAGTGCAAAGCTGTTATTTCGACATTACAAACAGACACTTTAATTTTATTTACTTGTATATAAATAAATTACATAAGAGTGTTACACATTTTAGACCTTGGCCGTGGACCAAAACAAAAATGACCTTAGAGATTGAATTACAAAATGTTATCTAGCCGTAGATAAGCTCTTCGCTTTATTAGTCAAGTGTGTTTTCATTTCTTCACACATTACGTTTTCGAATTAATACGCATTATTTTTCTAAATAGGTTATCTCCCGAACCATTTTAGATATTTTGATGTAAAACAGTAAAGTTGCAGCTGATATCAGCTGGAACATTTGAAAGGGTGGTAAGGTACATAGAATAGAATATAATGATTTTTATTCAATATTGATTGTTACATAATACTTATTGAAAGTCATTTTTTATTTACCACTGGTTCGGAAAATATCTCTGTCCTGTTGAGAACCAGCAAGAAACCCAGCGGGACTTTTTTTTAAAACATAATTTCACTTAACAATAATTTTGTATATACAATTTTAAATGTATTTTCATAGAAACAACATGAAAGCGATCACATTCCCAGGAGTTATTTTCATTCATGTATTCTTTGATATTATAATAACCCTTTTTGTACAGTTCTTCTTTAATAAAACTTTTAAACTTGTTTATTGACAAACTTTGAACATGTTCTGGGATTTTGTTGTAAAAGAGTATACATTGCCCCATAAATGAATTACTAATTATGTGGAGTCTAGTAACTGGCATTACAAGCTTATGTTTGTTCCTAGTGTTTAAGGTATGAACATCCCTAATGTTATTAAAGCTATTTATGTTTTTATGTACATACATTACATTTTCATAAATATATTGCGATGTCAAAGTTAATATATTTATTTCTATAAATTTTTCTCTGAGGGACTCTTTACAATTTAGGTTATAAATCGCCCGTACGGCTCTCTTTTGCATATCCAGACAAACTTCTTGGCAGAATAGGACTCTTGCCACCTAGTAGGTAAATTAATATGACGGCTCCGTGGCGCAGTGGCTTAGCAATCCGTTGTTGCGCTGGGGGCCGCGGGTTCGAATCCCGCACGGAACAAGTATTTGTATGGCCTACAAATAATTGTTCCGGGTCTGGATGTTTGTCCTTATGCAATTTATGATTGTAAACTGCCTCCACGACACAGGAGAAAATCCTAGTGTGGGGGTAACGTTTTTAAAAAAAAAAGAAAAAAAAATTAACAATTCCGTTGATACCGTTGGGCATTGAACTCGGGTAACTCGTGTACTGTGAAATTTGATATTTGATATTGAAGTGAGTTACTCACGTTAATATTCACTCAGCTCTTAAAACGCACATAAAACACACGCGTATTCAAATGCAACGTCGTGCAATTTTAAAGCAATCGTTAGAGAACTTTCAGATAAAATTTTGAACAAACATACTTTTACATTTTATTTATAAAAATGATGCTCTTGGAGGGCCTTACCTGTGGCAGTCAATGCGTCCTCTATATTTGCCGCGTTCAAAGGCTTTGGTTTCTCAGAATCAAAACCCTTGACGTTATTATGTTTAACACCCATTCTGTACAGATTTTAATAAACTGAAAAGATATTAGTACACTTTAAAAAAATTTAATAATATTATTGTAATTCAGTAATAATTGAAAATTTAACCGAATATTAAGGTTATTTGAAGACCGCAGCAGACTTTAAAATGCTTAGTGTCAATGAAGTAATAATAACTAAAATTAAAAACATTTTAGAAATAAATTTAGGTGTTGACACAAGTTTAATGGTTAAAACAGTAAAATAAAAAAATCCAAATGCGTTAAAAAGTTTAATAAAAAAAACACGCATGAGTGTCGTGGAACACTCGGTTGGAACCAAGTTCCATTCGTAGTATATTATTAATGAGAAACGTATTATATAATATATATTATTGATTAACAAATACAAACAAATAAATAATACAAATAAAAAAAAATTGCACACTATGATACTCGGGGTAGTGACGTAAAAATAACACTTTTTGTCGCCCAGCTCTCATCCGCCAAACCCGTACCATCCGATAAGGAACTTCGTTCCAAAAACCTTCCCCCCTTTTTTGTATTTGCAGATGCAATATATAAACATTATATATAACCTTTGTCACTAACATATCTAAGACAAATCTAAGAACATCTCATATGTTAAAATCGATCAAGCCGTTTAGACTACAGACCGTGCAAAAGAAATAGACGTACACACATGTACATACTCTCGAAAAACATTACCTTTCTTCTTGAGCAGTCGGGTAATAAAATTTAATGATTCTCTAATAGTAATGGTGTTTTTTAAAAATTAAATTTATCTAATAATACCCGATTTGAACTAGGTATAGGTTGACGCAAATGAGATTTATAACAATGATGTCATGTTAAATTAAAATGAAAAAGAAAATTACAACCTAGAACAAAAACCATACGTACATCAAAATGCAAACTTTTTAAATCTACCGGACAAAGGCTTTTCCAAGAATCAAGCATTATTTGATTATTATGATTTGCCTAATACTTACGTAGCAATTATTAGTTAATGTGTGATAACACTCATCACGCTGGGTCTCAGCTGACAAAAATACTATTTCGCTTTTTAAATATAAGTTTAATATGTTATTTATATGAGATAGCTTCAACACTGCTCAAGTACTGTTTAATGCAAGGTAACGTATAGTAAAACAATGAGGTGAGGTAGGCTAGATTTTACTCGGGTCAAGTTTGACTTGCCTTCTCTATGTTGGTTGACTAACGAGGTTCGAATATTCCTAATAAACAAATAATAATTCGTGTAATTAAAGAGTTTTACTCAATCGAAAGTCTCTGTCGAAAGTATACTTTCATTAAATTTATTAATTATTTATGATTTCCGATTACGTAAAGAAAAATAGTGTAATTTTTTTCATCGTTTATTCATAACTGTCCACCAAAATTTCACGGCTGAAGATAGGTGTCCCTATATTGCCTTATAGGCAATGAATGTGGGACAAGTTGCAACTGCAGCGTTTATATTGTTTCAGTTATCATGTGCCTGGTAGAGGCGGTTTAAGAGAATCCAACACATGGGCTATTTGATTCGCTATATCTTTCCAAGTATGTCGTAAGAGGCGACAGAGGGAAATGAGGGTAATGAAACAAGAGATGGGCAGCAGCATCTTCTTGACAACAACTCAAATAATGTAATTTTAAGAGACTCAAATTAATTACAACATGTTCTTGATTTAATACATATAAAGAATGCTTTTTACAGTATTTTTCTCGTAAACGATTTCCATATCCCATGGAATATTCCAGAAAGATTCGAGAAAGACGTAGTTATTTCTAGACGGTTCCGTTGGGAACTGTACTTGGGACTTTTGATCGCATTGCAGGCATATACAAAAACATCTACAGGAGCTTCAAAATAAACATAAATTACTCTTTTCCTTTTCAGTTGAGAAAAAGTTAAGATCTTCTAGTATATGGCCACTAAATAAGTTGACAACACCATTAATTTGAAGAAAAAGGTTGTCATTTTTAAAAACGAGAGAACGAGAGAAATTCCGTTCCCTGTAATAACTATAATTGTTAATATGTTATTCGTCCCACGCCTTGGGATAGGCTTAAATTCGGCAGTGGACTGCCGCAGGCTGATGATAATGATGAAATTTCATTTTTTATACAGATGGCAATTTTAAAAATACCACTATATAAACCTTACAATAAAATAGCTTTTACGTATGTTATTTTAAATTTTCAAAGTTTATTTGCGTTTATTATGTCATCAATTTTTTTATCACTCAGTTTGTTTTATCGACTTTATGTTTTATTTTTTAATTTAATAATACGATTCTTCAATGCTTACTCATAAAGTTTTCTTCTTTTTTAATTAAATACACCATAATTTAAAAACATGTTCAGTCTTACCTTTAGCTCAGTTGAAATTGCTAGCAATCTGTAAATGGCGTGGAGGGAAAAACAAGAAAATCGGTTTGTGATTTAATTAATAATCAGTGCGCTGGCTGCCGACTGTCTGTGTAGATCCTCCACCAATAGCTTTGTTTTGTAGAAATTTTCTCTTTTATATCTCGCGCGGTATACGTCACAATCTTTCAGCTTCGTCATGGGAGGTTGTGTATTTGTAACAATCAACACCTGATGCTGTATTGTTTGCACACATATATTTACTCTTGTTCTCTCGCGGTCTCTAAAAATAGCAGAAGAATGTAGGTATAATTACGTCTTTGTCGGCTATTTATCTAGTATTCTCTTTCCTAATTATTCTCTTAGACTTTTATTGTAAGATTTTTAATGAGTTTTGGTCAAATTTTTGACGCGTTTTAAGATTTGGTACTTTTCAGATTTTGGTCCCCTGACCTGATCCTTCATCCTATCGGAGAGGCTATATTAAACAGTAGACTGTACTGACTAAAAATGTACAACTTCTTCTCTTCTTCTTTATGAGAGACCGTGCCCAATGCTGGATGTAAACCAGTCCCAGATATCAGATCTCCGTTGATGCCCCTCTTGGCTCCTTGGACCATTGTCTAGTCCGGAGTGTGGTGCCACTCACGCTGAAATCGCGGTTGCTTTCTGCAGACTGTCGCCGTGTTTGGCACTATAGATCGGACGATTGGGATGGGATGCGGTCTTTCTTTGCATTTTACTCTTCAGGGCGAGTTTGCTTCTCGCAGGACGATCACAACGATGTTTTTAATTCTGTTGCTGATGTGGTTCATGGTATGGAACTTTTTATTCCTTCCTCTGTGGTGCCCATCCGAGACAGATCTCAGCCATGGTTTAGTCGCTCCTGTAAAATAGCATCACGCTACAAGCAGGAGTGCTACCAGGCCTGGGCTGCCGCATCAACGTCCCGGGATGTAAACAGCAGTGCCCTTAAAAAGAAGTATGATTCCGCCTCCAGGTCCTTCAGAGTCATTGCCAAGGCAAAGTCAGAGCACATAGGAAGAATTGGCGAGAAACTGGTTCGCCTTTCTTCGGGAACCCGTGCATTCTGGTCTCTCGCCAAGGCTTTACAAGGGAACTTCTGTCAGCCATCTCTTCCGAGGATGACTCACTGACCCATGCCGCAAAGGAGAAAATCGATCTGCTAGGCTCTTTCTTTGCGTCCAACTTGACTTTCGATGACGGGGGGAACACACCGCCGATCATCCCGCGGTGCGAGTGCTCCATGCCGGATGTGCGATTTACACAGCGCTTGGTTTGCAAAGTACTCCTCTCCCTGGACATCCACAAGTCGAGTGGGCCTGACGGAATCCCCCCAATGGTACTTCGGAGTTGGCACCGGTTCTAATTCATGTTTTCTGGTACTCCTACTCCTTAGGCGTAGTTCCAAATACATGGAAGACGGCTTTTGTCCACCCGATCCCTAAAAAGGCTACCCCTCAGACCCGTCGAACTACAGGCCTATCGCCATCACCTCCTTGTTTTCCAAAATAATGGAATCCGTTATAAACTGCCAGCTCATACGGTACCTTGAGGATCACAAGCCGATTAGTGACCGCCAATACGTTTTTCGTCGGGGTCGATCAGCTGGTGATTTTCTGGTCTACCTAGCAGATAGATAGGTGGAGGCAGTAGAGTGCAAGGCATTGGTCATTAGTTTGGACATTGCGAAGGCCTTCGATCGGGTTTGGCACAAAGCGTTTCTTTCGAAGCTCCCTTCCTTGGTTGGGCTTTCCAAGAAATTGTGCAATTGGATCACCAGGTTTCCTGCAGATCGGAGTATCAAGGTATCTGTAGAAGGTGCATGTTCCAAATACTAGTCTATTAATGCCGGTGTTCCTCAAGGCTACGTACCCATCACAAACGCTGTTTCTTCTGCATATCAATGATATTTTGCGAAGCGGTAACATTCATTGCTATGCGGATGGCAGCATTGGTGATGCTCTATATACCGGCCATGCCAATATTTCTCGGGAAAATGTCGCTGAGTGCCGGAACAAACTTGTGCTGAAGTCGAGTCTTTGCTGAACAAAGTTTCGGATTGCGGGCGACTAAATCTAGTCTAGTTTAATCCTTTTACTGCTAAAAAGAACCCCTTGTCGTATCTCCTCAGTTTCAAGGTACTCCCCTTGTTGCCTCAGCCAGTATCGGAATCCTCAGTGTCGACATATCGAGTGATGTGAAGTTTCGTGGTCACTTGGAAGAGAAGGCCAAAATGGCCTCTAAAATGCTTGGCGTGCTCAGGAGAGCTAGACAGTATTTCATACCCGCACACCGCCTGCAACTTTACAAGGCGCTGGTTAGGCCTCACATGGAATACTGTTTCAATCTCTGGGCTGGGGCTCCCCAGTGCAAACTCATTCTACTTGACCGCATCCAGCGCAGAGCGGCTCGAATCGTCGACGACCGAGTCGTTACCGATCGGCTCAATTCACTGGCGCTGAGAAGAGATGTTGCATCCCTTTGCATTTTCTTTCGCATTTACAATGGGGAGTGCTCTGAGGAGTTGTTCGGATTAACCCCAGCCGCCAAATTTCACGAACGCACATCGCTGCAAAACTTCCGATACCATCCACATCATCTGAATGCTTGGCGTTCCAC